CGTCGCCTTTGTCGGGACAGTGGAGAGCCGCAGATCGTCGCCTTTGCTGGGACAGTGGAGAGCCGCAGATCGTCGCCTTTGCCGGGACAGCGGAGAGCCACAGATGACCGCCTTTGCCGGGACAGCGGAGAGCCGCAGTTCGCCGCCTCTGCCGTGACAGCGGAGAGCCGCAGATCGTCGCCTCTGTCGGGACAGTGGAGAGCCGCAGATGGCCGCCTCTACTGGGACAGTTGAGAGCCGCAGATGGCCGCCTCTGCCGGGACAGAGGAGAACCACAGATGGCCGCTTCTGTCGGGACATTGGAGAGCCGCAGTTTGCCACCTCTGCCGGGACTGTGGAGAGCCACAGATGGCCGCCTTTGCCGGGACAGCGGAGAGCCGCAGTTCGCCAAGTCTGCCAGGACAGTGGACAGCCGCAGTTCGCCGCCTCTGCCTTGACAGTGGAGAGCCGCAGATGGCCGCCTTTGCCGGGACAGTGGAGAGCCGCAGATGGCCGCCTCTGCCGGGACAGTGGAGAACCACAGATGGCCGCCTCTGTCGGGACAGTGGAGAGCCGCAGTTCACCGCCTCTGCTCGGTCTTAATGAGGGGCCGGAGGAGGAGGAGGCGCTGGAAGCTGTGACGGACATTGGTGGGGTTGGGGGCGCGCCGCTTTTTGTTATTCACCACTCGCACTACGTCGAATTCTTATTCTTCTTCCTCCTCCTCATCCTCCTCTCTCTTGCCCCTCCTTTCTAGAAAACAAAAGCGATTAGATAGACGAAAAACTGTAGTAAAAATAGTAGTAATATAATAATAACTACAGATTTATACTCTTCAAAAATAGAAACTTGACATAGATGTAAAACCACTTTTTGCCAAATATCTAAAATAATTACATTAAATGAGAACTAAATAAGTCAAACAGAAAGATGATGTGTCTATAATTCACGAAAACACATGCAAAGCACATAAACGTAGCGTTTGGGAATCAATTTTACAGCTTCATCCAAACGCAACCGCCTGTGAAAAACGTGCAGCACAGGATCCTGCATTTAGGCATGCAGGCCCCCCCTGCTGAATGGGTATAAAAATCCACATCAACGGCTGTTCATACAGTCCTTATAACGGCAGTAGAGGCGGTGACAGAATGCCAAGACTGAATGCAGTTCAACGGAACAACGCCATTGGGAGATTACAAGCTTGAGCAATTCAGCAAGAAGTGGCCAGGCACTTTGGCGTATCCAGTGACAATCTCTGCACTGTGGACCCGATACAACAACACCAACAGAGTTGACGACAGACCAAGGTCAGGAAGACCAAGGGTGACAACCCAAGCACAAGATCGATACATCAGGCTGCGACACCTCCGAGACCGCACTACCACAGCCACGTCTACAACCACACAGATCCCTGGGGTACGCAAAATAACAGATCAAACGGTACGCAACAGACTGATGGAGGCTGGACCTTTTGCACGAAGACCTGTTTGACGTCATGTATTGACCCCACGTCATCTGGCGGACCGTCTGCTTTGGTGCCAAAAGAGGGTTAGATGGGCACGTGCAAGGTGGAGAAATGTACTGTTTACTGACGAGTCCCGTTTCCTACTCACACGTGCTGTTGGGCGCGCACGTGTCTACAGACGTCGGGGTGAACGTTACGCCCCCTACTGTGTGCAGCAGGTTGTCCCATTTGGCGGCGAGAGTTTCATGGTATGGGCCGGAATTCTTCACGGTGGTAGGACGCATCTCGTGCATGTGGCAGGTGCGTTGACAGGTGTGCGTTACAGAGACTTGATCCTACAGCCTTACGTTCTTCCTCACGTCAACGTTCATGGCGGACAGTTCCAGCAGGACAACGCTCGACCGCATATGGCACGTGTTTGTCAGGACTTCTTATACCACAACAACATCCAGACATTACCTTGGCCAGCCCCGTCACCAGATTTGTCCCCGATTGAGCATCTGTGGGACGAGTTGGATCGACGCGTTCGCAGAAGGAGTCCACCGCCCCAAACACTTCCGGCGCTTCTTGATGCACTTCATCATGAATGGCAGCACAGCGTGTTATTGACAACTTGATTGCATCTATGGGTCGTCGGTGTCAAGTGGTGATTGAGGCACGTGGTGGGCACAACGATACTGACATTTTCTGTGCCCCTGTGACATTAACTGTATCGTGTTCGTGTGTCTGTCTAGGTGACACGATTAATGTTTGGAACATTGTGTACATTGATCTTCAAACAGTGTTTCAATTATGGTTTCCGTGTCCTATTTTGAAACAATCGCTTTTATTACATTTTGAAAGTCATTGTCAAGTTGCTTTTTTTAAAGAGTATATATAGCGCTGGTATCCAGTTCGAAGAACTGCTCAAAAGCGCTTCATTTGAGTCTACACAAAAAGAGACATTACACAGCTAGGAAAACTCAAAGCCACAATACTCCAAGAAAGATTTGGTGAAAAGATAGGTTTTGAGTCTTGATCGGAACAAAGTAGGACTGTCAATGTTCCTGATATCCAATGGCAGCCTATTCCACAGCTCAGGGGCAACTTTGGCGAAACTCCGACCTCCAAAAGTCGCCGTTCTAACACTAGGCACAGAGAGTAGGGACTGGCAGCTTGATCTGAGAGATCTCCCAGGCACTACTCTTCAAGAAGCTCGCTGATATAATTAGTAGTAGTAGTAGTAGTAGTAGTAGTAGTAGTAGTAGTAGTAGTAAAGATGGAGAAATCATTTTTCTGGCACCGCGAGAGAGTCTGCGAGGTCGGAGAGTTCGGGATAATCGAAAAGAGAGTATGACAGGTCCTGAGATTGGACAGTTCAAGAGAGTCGGACAGTTTGGGAGAGTCGGACAGTTCGGGAGACTTGGCGAGAGTCGGAGGGTTCAGGCACAGGAGTCCGTATCTAAAATTAGACGCCCTCATCGTATCGTTTTGTAATTCTTTAAAACACATCATACTATTGTTTGAACGCTCCATTATTTTTCAGGAATGGAGAGTTGCTTGTCAACTGTACATTATCTTGAAGCAGCATTTGAATTTTTCAAATATTTTCAACTACAGAATATTTTGTCAAAGTGTAAAAGTAGGGATGAGTTTTAAGTAGGGGAATATCCCCGTAACTCTCCATTCCTTAAAAATAATCGGCCTCTGCTCGAATATTTTTATGGAATGGAGAGTTACTCGGACATTCCCCTCTACATAATTGTCAGCCGTCCCAGTTGTCAGACAGATCACACCATGATTAGTCAAGGTTGGCTGGTCAAGCAATAGGTACCTGTTTACCTTTCGTTAAAGTGGAACGCACCAGAAAACACACGTTTTGGAGAATTTACAGGATAGGTTTATTATGCACTTTTAATCGTCAAATCGTACTAGAAATTAAACTTTTTGAAGTATTCACCAGAAATCACACATTTTGAATTGTTTACAGGATATATCTATTCTACTTTAATGTGGAATATATTTCACTATTAGCACTAAAACAGCAGAAATGTTATCATTTGACCTAAGATATACCATAATCACATGATTAGAAAGACACAACATACACACATTTTAAAGTATTTACCAGAAATTGCATATTTTAAATTATACAGGATATATTTCATTATATTAGTGCATAAGACACTCTATACAGAATATCACGGATCACAGTTCAGTACAATATCTGTTTTCAGTGTGTTGTCTGGCTTCTGGTTTTTTTAGAGTAGGTGAATCCATCAAGGATTTCTTAGGGGGTGGGGGGGGGGGGGGGGTTCTTCTCTGAGACTCAGTGAACTCACCTCTGCCTATACCAGCCATAGTGGTGATACCTTCCTGACTTAGACTTCATGTTGGTTGGTTGGTTTGTTGTTAAATGCCGCACTGAGCAATGTTCCAGCGATATGACCGCGGTCTGTTAATAATCAAGGCTGGACCAGGTAATCCAGTGATGAATATCATGAGCATCGATCCACGCAATTGGGATCAATGACATTCATCAACCAAGTCAGCGAGCCTGACCACCCGATCCTGTTAGTCGCCTTTTGCAGCAAGCATGGGTTGCTGAGGATCTGTTTTACCCCACATCTTCACGGGTCAGAGACTTAATGTAATATGGTTTGGTACCTATAGTACATGAGATGGAGAAGTTTCATCTATTTAATGAAAATAATGCAAAACAAACTCAACGGTAAAAATGTTTTTATTAATCTTCACTGAGTTTCCTATATTCTACATCATTGAAAAAACTATTTTATATCGTTGCTAATCAAACACACGACCCGACAGAGATCAAACGCAGTTTACAAACACATTCAAATTCTGCTTAATCTGTATCACTTAACGAGCTTGAGTAGGTTACAGTGGGAGTAGACTAGATATTCGCTAATCTATTTGGCCATCTCTTAAAACCAGCATGGGTTGCTGGAGACTAGTCAATGTTCGCACATTGCCATTTAGAAAGTGGTCAAACATCACAAATTTTATATTTGGGATAACACTTTCTTAGTAAAGTACAGATACTCCTGCTTTTTGGAGTTGAGTCCCGTCCAAGATTCGAACCCAGACTGCCAGAGTGAGGCACCTAATCGCCAGCACACAAAGTCAGCGATCTAACCCACTCAGCTACCAAGGCTTCCCATAAAACCCAAAAATGAAAGTCTGACAACTGGTAGTCCAGATCACATACTTTGTGTACCCCTCTGACAAGTGTAAATTGGCACGGCTCCCATTGCCGAAAGCTATGAAAACAATGCCATTAGGAAAGTGGTCAAATGTAACAAATGTAAGTCTATGTCACCCAGACCGCCTCCGTGGTCTTGTGGTAGAGCGTCCGCCCGGAGAGCGGAAGGTCCAGGGTTCGCGTCATACAAAAAGACGTTAAAAGATTGTACTTGTTGTTACCCTGTCGGGCGCTCGGCATTAAGTGGCTAAAACAAGGACTGGTCGGCTCGGAGTCAGTATACTGTGTCTGAGTGGGGTATTCATGTTAAACTGCGGCATGGTATCTCAGTGAGCTAGCACTATAAATCGGCATCAGTCCGGACTAGTACAAGCAGCCACACACACACATACGTGCATGCACGTCGCTATATAAGTGCAATAATCTTGGACGCGACGTTAAACCCCATTTCACCTCACCTATGTCACCCAGAATCGCCAGCGGGGTGTAAATACAAATAAAGTCTCACTTCGAGACACACAGACAAGCACATGGAAGACTTGTTGGTCCTTTTAATGTGCAAGACATTCTTATCTCCTCAAGTAGGCATTCTGTTACAGGACAAAACGTAAAACAAAGTTTGGACAATATTTATAGTTTTATTCCAATCTGTGTAAGAGTTAAATAAAAATGTTCATTACACAACCAATTAGGGTGAAACATGTTCGATGAGGTACAAACCTATTGGCATGTCCTGTATAGCACTCCAGTGCCCCATTCCACGAAGCAGTCTTAGCGCCAGTCTTCTTTAACATTGACTTACGCCAGCGCTAGCATCACCTCGTGGAACGAGTATCAGGTTATAATTTGCACAGCATACATGTGGTGAGTGAGTTGGGTTTAACGTCGCTTTCAACAGCTTAAAGTGGGAGGAAAGCCCGAAGTGATGCAGGTCTCAGACATTTATCACTTCGGCGAAACCCACAAGCACAGGTATGGCGCTGACAAACCTAGAAACATAATTGGGGCGAACCGGGATTTGAACCCACAATTATAGGTTTCTGGCGTGCCCAAGGGACGCACCTCTGCACAGTGACTCGCAGCGCCTAAGACGATCGGGCCACCCGTGCCCCCGCAGCATACATGTAGGTCATGTATGGGACGTATACTCCATAAGTTGAATTCTTGTTATAAATGAGCTCAGCTCTAAGTAAAATATTGCAAAACATCAGATCATCAAAATAAAACAATCCTTTCCCCTGCCTCAACCATTCATGCAGCAGTTGTTCCATTAAACAAATCATTTTGATTTAAGAATTGACTTCAATATATCTTGCAGTTATGGAGGAATAAACATCAGAATGTCTGTGAACACTTTAAATAAATAAGCTTATCAACAAATATTGAAGTCAATTCTTAAAATGAAATACATAATAAATAAAAACTTCACCGACTGCTTATTTTACCATCAACACAAAAACAATACAAACTCAGTGACATCGTTCAGCCCAATAATGCAACAAAAGCATACAAAAACTGCTCGGTTAGCCAATCAAATGCCACAGATATTTGTATGAAATTAACTGCAGGGGGATAGTATCCTGTTTGTCAACACAATAAACCTATATCATGATCATAATTATTAGCGGAAAAAATAGGGGTGAAACGATACAACGGTGCACCGATGTCAGTCAAATTTTGCAAGATGTGTTGTTATTTGCGTTTCAAGTTCACTAATACAAATATCCACTACAAACACGTGTCTACAGCTAGCTTTTCCTTTTGAACCTGCTCTGAAATATTAAAAGTCAAGAAGTTACCATGCGATGTGAAGTACATATGGGTATTGCAATACATATCGTATCATGACAGGTTACGAATCGTGACCTTTTCGTTACCATTTCACCCCAAGTATATAACACCAGACACCTGACCAGCATGCTCAGAGGACACATTACCTGGTTAACAGATGAATGAGCATTCAGACTGTATTCTCATCTCCCTCAGGAATATACTTCAATATAAACATGTAACACTTCAGAGGGACTTAGGACTTTGAGAGCCTCAAAATGTGGGGAGATGACAGTAGTAAACATACTTCTATTGTTTGATTTTGTTTTTGTTTTTTGTTGTTTAACGCCGCACTCAGCAATATTCCAGCTATATAATGGTAGTCAGTAAATAATCATGTCTGGACCCGACAATCCAGTGATTGACATCATGAACATCGATCCACACAAATGGGATACGATATGCATCTACCAAGTCAGCGAGCCTTACCACCCCGATCCCGTCAGTCACCTTTTACGGCAAGCATGGGTTGCTGAAGACCCATTCTACCCTGCATAATCATGGGTCACATGCTTCTATGCTAAAGTTGGGGCACCTCATGTGATATCAGTACAATGCAATTACATTTATAAAAGTTACTACTTATTCAGCACGACAGCAGACCATGACCTTGGTAGCACCCCAAGGCATTCCTACTGAGAAGGGTCAGTGAATGTTTTTAATGGATGGTTTGCATATGGACTTGAAGCCTTGCAAGAGTAACTGCTGTATTGATGTTATGGATCCTTATTTCATTCTTCATACAAACTTCATCCATGATGATGCTCTCAGATATATTTCAATTCACAATGTACTAAGAAGTCTCGGATAGATGACACTATTTATAGACAGCAACTTCTTGTCACAATGTTTCAGAGCTACTTCTTGCGCCTTCATCAGGTGACATTAATACATGACACTTTTTATGGATAGTAACTTTTTTTATTCTTTGGCAAGATGTTTCAGAGCAACTTTTGCTCCTTCATCAATATCTTTCTTGAAGTCTGTCTTCCTTCATACTGTTATACAGTACATTACCAAGTTCCCCTCCTCCTTCACGCAGTGGATGGAACATGTTGGAGCATAGACATGAGTTTCATGTGACCTTCTTTCACAGTCAAGACAGCAGCCTGTTCCTGCTTCTGAAGATCAGGTGACACAGTGTCTACACAGCAGCCTGTTCCTGCTTCTGAAGATCAGGTGACACCATGTCTACACAGCAGCCTGTTCCTCCTTCTGAAGATAAGGTGACACAGTGTCTACACAGCAGCCTGTTCCTCCTTCTGAAGATAAGGTGACACAGTGTCTACACAGCAGCCTGTTCCTCCTTCTGAAGATAAGGTGACACAGTGTCTACACAGCAGCCTGTTCCTCCTTCTGAAGATCAGGTGACACCGTGTCTACACAGCAGCCTATTCCTGCTTCTGAAGATAAGGTGACACAGTGTCTACACAGCAGCCTATTCCTCCTTCTGAAGATAAGGTGACACAGTGTCTACACAGCAGCCTATTCCTCCTTCTGAAGATCAGGTGACACCGTGTCTACACAGCAGCCCGTTCCTCCTTCTGAAGATCAGGTGACACCGTGTCTACACAGCAGTCTGTTCCTGCTTCTGAAGATAAGGTGACACAGTGTCTACACAGCAGCCCGTTCCTCCTTCTGAAGATCAGGTGACACCGTGTCTACACAGCAGTCTGTTCCTGCTTCTGAAGATAAGGTGACACCAAGTCTACACAGCAGCCTGTTCCTGCTTCTGAAGATAAGGTGACACCGAGTCTACACAGCAGCCTGTTCCTCCTGCTGAAGATCCTGCTTGAACTGTTCCTGGATCTGTGGGATCATGTCCGGGTTCTGGAACAGGTCAATGACGGTCATGGCCAGGGCCTTCCCCACAGACAGCGTGTAGCCCTGCGCCTCCTCTCTACCTGCAGAGACAAAACATCAGGACTATTATGTTGAACAGCAAGGATGAACCAAAACATCATTTGAATTTACCTCTCATGTTGGGAAGAGCACCACCTGTAATGGTGGTGAGGAGATGCATGTGAAACAATGGGAGCAGATGTTGAAAGCTGGCGGGCATGTTTTGGCTTATGTGGTCAAACACTGAGACAAAGGGTCAAAGTATTGGGGGGATTTTGTTCCCGACGATTGAACATTTTGCTTATTATTGGACTTTCACTTCAGCTGATTGGAAACATGGAGATAATCTGGGTTCCTGGATGCAACTATCAGTATCAACATCAGGGCTCGGTGTCCAGGATAGCGAGACACCCGTTGCACGGAAAACAACAATAGTAATTTGGATGTTGGAATAATGCTCAAACAGATACAAGTACAAACTAAGGACACTAGACAGTAAGTTTGACTCTTCCACATGATACACCCCTAAAATGTAATATGTGAAAAGAGGTTGTTAGACAAGCAGACGAAAATGTTCTACAATCCAGGAAAGTGGAACAACTAGAATTTCAGCCTCACCAAGATAATGTCTTGTTTTTTGTCTTGGCATAAAGACGTATATATACACTATACTCTATGTTTTTGGCGGTGGAGGTGACCAAACATGGAATGTTTCTGAAGGTAAGGTGAGGGAATATCGAAAGGTGGATCTCAACATGGATGACAAGCAGGCTCACTCTATTGACACTGAGTGGGCACACAATTTACAAATTAAACGTCAGCCTAGACTGATAATTGTGAAGTTCATCTCTTCTAAAGACAGAGAACATAAGGGAACACAGTGAAAGATAATCTAAGCCAAAATAGTGACATTAGAGTTTCCTGATTGTACCCAGTCTGTCAGCAAGACGAGGTGAGAGTTGGGGAAGTATCTGAAAACGTACGGTGATAAAGGCGACAAGTGCTTCATATCGTACAACGACCTAATAGTGAATAATACTATGTATGTCTGGGATTGGAATAAAAGTTTCCATGCAGAAGTTGGTAGAAAACGGAACCTAATGGCACCCACCACATTCTTTAAAAGCCCAACTTGTCTGGGGGCACAGGTGGCCCAGTCGTCTAAGGCACCGCGATTCTCTGTGCATCACTTTAGAGGCGGTCACTTTAGATAAAGAGCATGATCAGAGAAATTTGTCTTTCACTGTTAGTTAGTGTTGGTAGCCATAGCCAATAGCTGGGATGTGTTTTAGGTGAGTTTTTTTTTAAGCTGGAAAATTGTTTTGGGGTCGTTTCCACACAATGATCCAGAAAGTAGGAGGGAGGGAGGTAAGTTGGTCCGAAGTGTCTTGGACCAATTATTTTCCAGAATAGTCCAAATATTAACCAATCTGAATGCTCATGGAATTGGCTGCCCATACCCACAATGCATGAAACATTATATCCTAGCTTCCATTGATTGCCTGGTTCACTCCATGTACAGGAGATATGTCCCACATGGTGGCCACACGAGGTACTGACTTTGTGTGATCAGAATATTCTGTAGCCTGCATTAAATCTGCGCTTTGCAAGTTCAGATACTGAGGATTTTGTCAGTTTATTTCTTGTTTAATTCTGCACTCTGTAAAATTCCAGCTATACAACAACGGTCCATAAATAATTAAGTCTGGACCAGACAATCCAGTGATTGACAATCATGAACATTGATCTACACAAATGAGATACAATGACAAGCATCAACAAAGTCAACGAGCCTGACCACCCAATCCCGTTAGTCGCCTCATACGACAAGCCCAGTCACCTCTTACGCCAAGCATGGGTTGCTGAAAAAGTATTTTAACCCTTCACGGGTCCAGATACTGAGGAAATGTCTTGCAACTCTCTGTGGCTGTGTGATGTCCTATTCATGAACAAGAGCTAAAAAAAAATTACTTAATAAAAATAAGTTCAATGAAAACTGAGGTAACCAGTAACCTACCTGACATAGCATCACAGACCTCCAAGAATCATAATGACATATTTCGGCTACATTGGACTCGCAATGCGTATTACTGACCTCCATTTCCAATGTTTAAATTTATTGCTGCAATAACTTGCATCAGTTAATATCCTGATTGTTACATGATATTTACTTTTCACCAGCAGAATGTTGGAGTTTCATATGTCAAAAAATATCCTGCATACAATCTGTACCAAAGTGCTACGCTTGTCATTCTTATAATTTTAAGTATATATGGTGGAACCTGCAACTAAAATAACACGATATTGGAATATAAAATTCCTGATAAAATAATAATATCAGATACAATTTCTTCCGACCATTGCATCAAATTTCTTTAAAGTGGTATCACTGGGTATGTTTTAACTGAATCACCAGTAGATTGGGAGGAAATGTGTGCACAGCTGATTGCTATTTCCGGCTTAGTTTACGAGAAAATACACACGGTAATCTTAATCTCTGCATATAAAAGAATACCTTAGAGAGCAGGAAATACATTATAAATGGTAAATCATCATGTCTAGTGATGTTTTATATCAAATTTCATACTTTTATTGACCAAGTTTGTTATAGATCTACCTGTTTATTCACCTGAAGGGATACGATGTGTTGTTGTTTTTTTAAAGCGCATATTTATACTCGATAAATCTTTTGTTACACTATGAATCATATAAACTTTGATTCAAATCTTTTTTGAAACCCTAAAACGTGCAAGGTAGATTGTGTTAGGTAGGCAGAGCATGTATACTGTTTTGTTGACCATCTACCACCTACGACTCGACCTTCGTTAAACGATCATCTATAACGCTTATCAATTATTTGGACCCCGAAGGTACTGTTGTAGCGAGGGATCACTGAACCTACCTGCGGCCTTGGCAAAGTCTACTGAGTGTCCACTGGCTGTTGTCCCGAAGTGGAACTTGGGGTGTATACTGGGTACGACATGTGACACGTTGCCCATATCCGTCGAGCCTCCCTGCTTGGCGATCTTGGCCGGGTCTTGCTCAAACTGGATTCCAACTTGACTGCCGTTTGTTTCGTACAGCGCTGCCAGGATATTGTTGCTCATCAGAGCTGAGTATGGCTTGTCATCAAACCGACACTCCACCTGGTAGAAGGAGGGAAAGAGGTTGAAGGAAGCTCTCAAACTGCTTACCAAAAACTGACTTATCGGGATCTCTGTCAATACGGACAAACTGACAGATGGATCCCTGACAACACATTCAAATTTAACAAAAAATTAAAGCATTGATGCAGGTGAGCCAAGTATTAAAGCATTTTCTGATTATTACCCACGTTATAAGGAATCATGTTTTATTTTCCTGAAACTAGTTCTTTTAAGGTATTGTATGTTAAATGAAACTCACATACTCTTCACGAGCTCAAACAAGAACTTGTTAGAATTGACATATTGTTTCGGAAGAAAGTATCAGTTCTAAAGCTGCATCTTGTTGATGGTACTCATTAATCTTGCCTCAATCTTACACTGTTTAAGTTTGTCTTGTGAGATTACATTCTGTAAAAGATGAGGTACATAGCCCAGGGGAGATAACTCATTGTGAAACGCGATGGGCAACTACTGCTACTACTACCTCCTCTATCACTACTATGACTACACCACTACTGCCACTAGTAGGGCTTCAATTGGTCCAAATTTATGGATTTGAAAAAACAGTTGGTATACACATTTCAACACATAACTTCCTTATTGTTTTCAATTCACAACAAGTAATCTGTATATCAACTAGTGGTTCGACGACACACTGGTGCATCGGTATATCATGATTTTTTATCTCCTGATACAAGTAACGATCACAGCCACACATAAATTAAAAAATATTGATTCCTAAATTAAATGTTTGCTTTAATAGCTGTTACAACAAACAAACAGTAATAAGAAGTGAAAACGTAAAATAAATTCATCCATTGTGCCATCATCGCAACTGGCAGTCTCTAATCACGACAAACTTTAGTGTGTCAGCTTTGCAGGGTACGAGGGCAAGATGGTCGGGCTAAAAAACATGCTAACTGTAAATAATCCTGTGTGTGAAAAAAACGACATACGCACGACAAAAAAGAACAAATGCAAGTATCATGAGACGTAAAGGATTGTGAGCATGGTATCGTGATACATAACGGATTGCACAGATGATGAATCGTCCCATCCCCAATATGAACTATATAATAAATTGTTATTAAACCCACGTAAACCTACATTTTCATTATTGTTGTTTTTCGTGTATGACCAGCATGTCAGTCAAGACTTTTTACAGCCAGTACCAAAATGTAGTTGCCATCAGACATTTTCCACTATCACCAATCATTTTATGAACTTTTTTGCCAAAAAAACTGTTTTTGTAACTGAGCGACTACCATGACCAAGCTGATGGATTGTCAGCAGCAGGAAGTCGACAGTGAATCCAAGCTCTTACTTGAGTTGTTGATGACAAAACAGTCATCCAATGAAATTACATAACAGAAAGGAATGCTTTAAGATTATCCAAGCAAATTCAGTTTGGGTATATATATTTTGTCAAAATATTCAGCGAAATACCATGTTAATTCTGAGTGACTATTTCTCCAACAATGACTCAGACAGAACAACCATGAATGCCTAACTAAAGTTGTGTAACAAGACATAAATTTGTTTGTTGTTTAACCCCGAACTCAGCAATATTCAAGCTATATCACAGCAGCCTGTAAATAATCGAGTCTGGACCAGACAATCCAGCGACTGGCGTCATGAGCATCAATCTACCAATTTGGATATGATGACATGCATCAACGAAGTCAGTGAGCCTGGCACCTGATCCCATTAGTCGCCTCTCAGGACAAGCATGGGTTGCTGAAGACCAATTCTAACACGATAAAACAAGACATGAACTTCACATTTGCTGGTTTATATTACGGGAGCTTTTGTGGCAATATTAAGTCTCACCGTGAAGATGTGTCATTGTAAATTCGTGAACTTCACATTTGCTGGTTTATATTGCGTGAGCATTTGTGACAATATTAAGTCTCATCGTGCAGATGTGTCATTGTAAATTCGTGAACTTCACATTTGCTGGTTTATACTGCGTGAGCATTTGTGACAATATTAAGTCTCATTGTGCAGATGTGTCATCATGGTCATTGTAAATTCGTGAACTTCACATTTGCTGGTTTATATTGCGTGAGCATTTGTGACAATATCAAGTCTCATCGTGCACATGTGTTTTTGTAAATTCATTGTGACAAGTAGTACCTGAGTATTACCTGATACCTGATTTCATTACCTGAAACACATGTGGTTAAATGTATCATATCAACTGGCCATGTCGGCACGGGATTGCAACATAGTGAAGACAAGTAGAGTGACCTCCCCTTAGCGAGTACTTGAGTCCTCAATGACAAACTCAAGTCTGGCTGAAACCAACTTGGCCTAGAGTACTCAAGTTCGAAATTCACACTAGTCCTAAAGTCTGAAAATACGATATTGTGCTGTGGACAAATAAAATTCTAGTGATGGTAGTCCTCATTCAGAACTTGAAGTCTGATATTCTGAACGACTTCTCAATGTTTTCATTTCGCTACAATTGTAACTAAATAAAACTGACAGAAAGAGTAAGCTAAGTAAACATGCGAGTGAAATTAGGTTAACACTTTGCCTCTGCACTAGTTTTAAAAAAGACAAATTCCGGAAGCTGACATCAGGCCTCAAGCTTTCGTAATATCAGCACAAAATTGTGTGCACACTAACAAATACCTAGTGACTCACATTTAGTAACTTTCTAGTTGTGACTCTAAGACACTCACCGTACAGCCGGTGGCCTGAGCTGCTCCGTGTACACAGGCCTCGAACTTGGCCTTCAGGAATACTAGTTCCGGGTCCGTGGGAGCCCTGATCATGTATTGCAGCTCCGTGAACTCAGGGATGATGTTTGGCTTGGCTCCCCCATTAGATATAACACCTAACATTGAAAACAGCATGTAGTTATCTGCAGCAAACTGATTTAAAAAAGTTAAAGAATTATTTGAATCAACAATTGATTAACAATACCAAATTTTGAATTACATTATCATAATTACATAGGCAAAGGATTGTTGTCTATGATAAATTGATGACGTAGGCAGTATATTAATTGCATATCAACAATTTCAACCTATTTTGTTTCAGTGATTGAATGTTTGTTTCATATTCCATTCATATTTCAGCTCTGTAAATGATCAACTCTGGACCTGGCAAGCCAGTGATTGATAGCACGAGCACAGATCCTCCCAGTAATGGTCCCCAGTCAGATGGTTGTTACCTGTCTGGCTCGTAGCATTTAGGGGCTAAAACAAGGACTGGTCAGCTCGGAGTCAGTATACTGTGTCTGAGTGGGGTATTCATGTTAAACTGCAGCATGGGATCTGTGGGCTAGCACTTTAAATCAGCATCAATGCAGACTAGTACAAGCAGCCACACACACACAAGACACACAAGACACACAGGACAACACAAGACACACACACACACACACACACACACACACACACACATATATATATATCATTTGATTTTTCTATCCTGCTCTTGACTTTAAATCATTCTAAAATATTCATGCATGTGTTTGCTGTATAAGTGTTAACACCTCACCTCACCTTACATCGCCTCACCATACATCGCCTCACCTCACCTCACATCGCCTCACCTCATCCCCTCACCTCACATCGCCTCACCTCATCCCCTCACCTCACTTGGCCTCACCTCACCTCACCTCACATCGCCTCACCTCACCTCACCTCACCTCACCTCACCTCACCCCACCTTACCTCACATCGCCTCACCTCACCACAACCAGATCTTACAACCAGGACAGGACACTGTCAACCTCTCTGCCGTGGAATCTCACAGGGTATTGTCTTAGTAAATAAATATTCTCTGAAACAGATCATCACTTTTATTTTCTGTGTGTGTTGTCCTTACCATGGATCCTCCAGGATGGCTTGATCTGCTGCCTCAGACAGGAGATGTTCTGGTAGCAGAGAACGGCAGCATCGAGGGCGTTCACCCCATTCCAGGGGAAGCTTGCAGCGTGAGAAGCTCGGCCTTGGAACTGAATGGTAGCTCTAAATGTGCAACACGAGTGAAACTGAATAATTGTTTTGATTATTTTACGTTTACATAACACCAGTGATAAGGGTAGGAGGTTATTAAGAAGTTGTTTTTGCAACGTTTCCTTGTTCATCACACCAACTTCAAAATGCAACTCAAAGAAGTTAATTGATATGGGTAGAAAGACTGAGGTGGTGAACGTCAGGGATTTATCTGGGATTCTAAATTAAGTTCCCTTGGCAGGTAAATTGAGAAAAAAATGTGATATTGTTTAAAATTGGATATTTTTACTGTACTTTTTTTCGTCATTTGCTGACTTGGGGCCAAATATCGGCTTCTCAGTAAATCTCAATCTGAGCTGGTCTCAATAAATTCCTGCAGGTCTTAGAGGTTTACCACTACCATGAGACAATGAGCACTGACAAACATAGAAACATTATCAGAGCAAATCTGTGATTTCAAGCCCAGAATCAAAGGTTTCAGGTATACACTAATGAAAACAAACTTAATGAACTTATAACTGTGATAACAAATATAAACTTGTATCAACCATGTAATAGAGATTCTAAACAATACTGTTTCTGCTGACTAGTGATATTGAGAAAGTGACAAGAGCTGTTCTGGTGTACACTTGTGTACAATACACATATCCTCAGTAGGGCTGTAACAATTCACCAATACCTACGATAACATCGATACATAGGTACACACGATACTGGAATTGTCAGTTTGTGAGAATGCAATACACTATAAATAGAACAGGAACTAATAGAGTTACTTCCCTTTGTGGCAGAAGTAGAATAGCGCCACATGTAAGCATGGAAGAACACAAGGACGTGGTAGCTGAAGACACACCGACTAACTGTTACATATAATAATCATCCCTTCATTTAAAACTGTTTTGTTCTTGTGGTTTTTCTTTGTTAAATTTTCTCATAAAACAGTAGTGAGTGAGTGAGTGAGTATGGTTTTACACCGCTTTTAGCAATATTCCAGAAATATCACGGCGGGGGACAACAGGAATGGGCTTCACACATTGTACCCATGTCGGGAATCGAACCTGGGTCTTCGGCGTGACAAGCGAACGCTTTAACCACTAGGCTACCCGAAATAAATGTACGAAGAAAGGTGTTTTGGAGCTGTAATTCAGTGATTTCAGAATTTATCACTACGGTATTTGATGTGTATTGTGATACCGGTAGTATCGTCAGTTGGTATCATGATACTAATTGTATTGCAAGATACCAGAGATACTCAGCTCTAATCCATAGTGTACTTACTGGTTCATGGCTACCATGACAGGCCTGGGGAGATTGCACTGGGAGGGGTGCGCCATCATGGCCACATCCACACCACTGAAGGCCCCCGCTCGGATCAGGTCAACCTTGCCTCCCCCTCCCTCCTCCGCCGGGGTGCCCAGCACGGTCAGCTGTGTAACACGTACAACACTTGTGTCACTCACATCCTCAACAGAGAGTTGCCTCCCCTATACCAGAAACATCATTTCTGCAATTGCGGTCAAGTGTACCAGAAGTATGGGTTTCATTAATGCATTTTGTGCCTGAAGTCAAATATTTGATTACATTTAAGCTGATAGTGTCTTAATTTAATATCCTTATCTATATTCAATTTTCTTGTATTCCTTGCCTTGCCAAGAGGTTTTCCAGAAGCCTCCATCGCTGCTTTGGCTCCAAGAGCCGTTGCCACGCCGACCTCTGCTATCAGGTTGTGTCCACAAGCATGGCCCATCCCAGGCAGGGCATCATACTCACACAGCACTGCAATATTAGGCCCTCCATTGTCAGTACTCCCATGGGTTGCCTTGAAGGCTGTGGCAACCTTGAAACTCCTCTCTACAGCAAACCCATACTTCTCAAGCAGATTTGTGAGCACCTCATGAGCATGGAATTCTTCAAAGTTTAGTTCAGGATTGTCATAGATTTCTTTGCTGAGGGCTTTGAGATCTGGATATGCAGCATCAATGGCTTTGCATGCAGTGGACTTTAGATCCTCCATGTCGGCAACCACTCCAGGCTATTGCAGAAAGATGTGCTGAAATAGTACACTGAAATAACAGACAATTGTGGGCAAAATATTCCTGAATGCATATCAGTATGTGACACCAATGCCATCCTGTTGGTGATAGTTAAACATCATAAGGACTAGGCCTGGGACTGGTAACTCGGGTACCCGGGTCGGATGGGTACTGAGTAGGACCCGGGTACCCACAGGACTACCCGGACCTGTGGTTAGTCACGTGATTATATTGTTTAATGGCAAAAATTATCTAGAACTATGGTGACCCTTTAAGTGATAAATATTCTCATTTCTTTCTGACTTTGCACACATTCCTTCTGACTTGATATGTTTGCATAATGATAAAACATCAGTCAACGTCAGTGTATGCATGACCAGATCGGATTATATGTGTATCTAAATTTATTTTGACAGGAGTACGGTCAAACTATTCCCAATCGGACATGTTTTACCTATCTCTTGAGCCCTACAGTGGGTACCCAGGTAGGGTTGGGTAATAGGGGGGTGTTTAAATTTGGACTCGTCCCATCCCTAATAAGGACCAATCAAACACTGTGGGACACTCTCCTGAACACTTCAAGACCCTTGACAATTTTCATCAATCATATAATTCCACTACTCCATACATCAAAATTCATTCTTTCCGTCATAAAAACAACTTCAAAGCACATGTTCAAGTTATACATAAATATTTAAGACAATATACTTTGGTATCTATTAAAGCTGGGACTGGTAACTCGGGTACTCGGGTCGGGTGGCTACGAAGTTGGACCTGGTTACCCACAGGACTACCCAGACCTGTGGTTAGTCACGTGATATATTGTTATATGATCAAAGTTCAATATAAGTGTATGGTTACACTACAAGTCACTAATGTTCCCATTTCATTCTGACTGTAAATGCATAACTTCTGAGTTTCATGGTTGAATGAAGATAAAGCTTCTGTGTTTGCATGAGCAGCTTGTTGCGTACATGTATCTAAATCCTTTTGGCCAGAGCTCCTGTAAAACAATTCCTAACTGGACTTTTTTTAACCCAACTTTGAGATTTTCTGTTGGAACCCGGGTAGGGTCATGTAATTTGGGGTAGGGTACGTGGGTAGTAAATCTGGACTCGTCCCAGCCCAAGTATCAAAATGGCTTGAAAGTTTATTTGTTTGTTGTTTAACGCCACACTCAGGAACATTCCACTTATATGATGGCGATCTATAAATAATCGGGTCTGGATCAGACAATCCAGTGATTGACATCATGAGCATCCATCTATACGATTGGGACACAATGACATGAATCAAACAAGTCAGTGAGCCTGACCAACCGATTCCATTAGTCGCCTCTTACGACAAGCAGAGTCACCTCTTACGGCAAGCATGGGTTGCTGAAGATCTATTCTATCCTGCATCTTCACGGGTATCCAGTATGGCACAAGACAAGTTAATTCCACAAACCCAGCTCCAATGCAAGACATGCACTTGACTTGACTTGAGTTTGTTAACCTGTTGACGAGGGAAGCGTGCAACTCCCTTTTCCTAGGGTACATTTGTGCATTCTGATTTTGGTCAGTGTATATTTCAGTATCAGCTTATATATACAGAAAGGTAGGTTGGCCTACCTGAGCAGCTCCTGGGCAACCCTGTACGACCCATTTTAGGTGGTACGACAAACAGTGAGTATTTGAAAAATACTACTTCCCAGAGACAAACAGGATGGTAAATCAACCAGTTTGGCTAATGATGAAATTTTCAAATGAATACGCACCTTGGTGTTACCACGGACTTGTATAATATATAGGTCCGTGGTGTTACTTGTTGATTTCACTTCAACTTGAAATGCGACTTAAGTTCTGAGTTAACAAGGTTACGAACAGTAAGGTGACCTAGACTAGAACTTCCCGTAAGTCACGTTTGGCCGTGACAATCTAACACGAAGTTAAAACCTTGACTGAACGTCGTCTGCAAATGTTCAGATGTCCATGTGTTTTGAATATGACGCGTGATGTTCCTTGTGAGTAATAATTTGTGTTGGAGGTAATACGTATGACAATAGCAGATCCATGTATTATATCTGCTTTTAATTAAATACAGCACCAAATTTCAATTCTATGTCATGATTAACTGGACCTGCCTTTACACCTGTGGAGATGGACTAAACCGCTGTAAACCCTTTCCCAGCTGTCGCTCAGGCTCCTCACAGCGATGGCCCGTTCGAGGAGCTCTCTATACTATACCGAGAGTGTAACGAAGGTGTCACGCGCTGGGAAGGAGCTTGGCTGTCGCTGTTCAAAGGGGAGTAACTCTCAATATTATGCTATCTTGTTGTCAGAACAAAATATGTGCCAGAAGTCGGATCGAGCCCCATCATGAAAATTGTTTGATCAGGTTGATGAGTTTTTATGTCCCATTGTTATTTATGTAAAAAATCACTTTTAGATGAGGTACTCGTAAAATTAGAGGTGAAATTATAACAAAAACGTGGCATAAATGCAATTCGCATTTGTTTTCAAATACTCAATAAAACGCGCAAATATGAACAGGCATGTTTTGCTCCCATTAGAATTTATACGCAATTGTACTCAGTATATCATCAAAAGGGTGCAAACATTCGTGAAGAACTCGTGTAATTTCGTCATGGGTCTTAGACCAGGCCTCTGCCCTTCTCGAAAATATATATCATCAACCATGTTTGTGAGGAGAAATGAAGATACAATCAAATGAATGCTCTAGATATTGAGTATTTATTCACATCAGTTACATTGGGTATTTGATCGTTATTTTAGCCTATTCAATCTATCTTTATTCTCTTGGATTAAGTCTGTTGGGTATTGTTAAACCAACGGGTAGACATTTTAAAACATAATTGCTGTTTCGGGTAACTTCTAATTTTCTTCTATTCAAGCGCTGCTCTAGTGCCGCATGACCTCACAGCAGCGATACATGTCTCACTTGCAGCAAGCGAGAGTTATCCCTTTTGTGCATTATTCACTGTAGAAGAGTTTATGTACAGGTGAAGCATGCATTCGATCAGTAAATATATCGATGTGTAAGATATCCGAGGACACAAACTGAACAGATTTCTTTGGGTAATATACGCACAGTGGCCTTATACTTTTTTGCTTTTTCAACAAATTCATACGCATTTGTAAGCAAATAAATCACAATGAATTGAGTTATGGTGATTCAGTTGGCGTATTTTACGTAAACGTGCAATGAAGCTCTGGACAAAACAATCTTACAACAATGTTTGAAAGAGTCGATTCAAGGGCTCATAAAATCATCAGACCAAGGGCCATGGTCGTCATTTGAGACGCGTGGGAACGACGCTGACGGATATTCTCGTTCGAGTACTACTCAACATTTGATAAGGATATTGTGATATCATACTGTCACGAAACTAGAGGACACCAACTGATTTAGAATGAAGCTGAGCACGTTTCATTTCCTTGTCCAGAAATATAAAATATAGAATTCTGTGCGCATGCAAACATATCCAGGAAATCAGTCGGGGAACAAATAAAACGACATTTGAGCAGATACTAGTACCTGGATACCTGCGGTTTAATAATAATAATAATAATAATAAGATGAAGAAGAAGAAGAAGAAGAAGATGTTTTCGAATTGTTGATGTGTGTTTTTCTTCTGTATTAGTGTATATATCTTTGAGAACACACGCTCACTTATATTCAAGAAAGACCACAGTATCCAGAATATTACCCTTTTTTTGTTTAACGCCGCATTCAGCAATATTCCAGCTATATGACGGTGGTCTGTAAATAATCGAGTCTGGACCAGACATTCCAGTGATTGACATCATGAGCATCGAGCTACGTAATTGGGAAACGATGACATACATCAACCAAGTCAGCGATGACATGCATCAACTAATCCCGTTTGTCGCCTCTTACGACAAGCAAAGTCGCCTCTTATGATAAGCATGGGTTGGTGAAGACCTATTCTACCCCGGATCTTCACGGGACCCGACTATGATGAAACCATGTACACACATTACCTAAGGTTTGAAATAATACCTTACGCTCTGTATTTGCTTCATTAATCATACATGTTTGACATTTCCATTGAAACGAGATTAAATGCACTGTGCTTTTTAACTGCTATAACTATGAATTGTTCAGTAGAAATATAACTCTAAACAACTGATAGTTATATCAGTGATAATGCACGCTGCACCTGAGCTCGTATTCCGTTACGCTGTATAAATATATATTGTACATATTTGATATTGATGTTAGAGATTCAGGCATGTATAGCTTTGACGTCGTTGCTGTCAATGTACACGTTCCTATCAGGAGAGGATCTCGTATATTTACCCAGTCTCATTGTGTACTGTCAATAACATATGTTGAAACTAACTGAATGTACTGATGTGCCAGCAAGATTGTACTCCATGATATAATTAAAATATTGTTCAAAGCGCCATTAAACAAAAGTCACTATCAATTGCAAATTCCACGATATCATCAACAGAAGGCAAATGGCCATATCTCGTAGACTGTTGCTTGTAGATTTACACATAGGTTCATCCATCAAGTCCCTTTGATCTTCAAAACAGCCGGTAAGTGTTAACTTAAAATGTCCACGATCACGTAACCTATTGTATCGCCCTTGTCACAGTTGTCCGCTACATATGCAGCGTCGATGGATCTACACTCAACATGTTGCTGATGGCGTTGGGATAACGACATCTGTCACAAATAACGCACAACTGTCAGAAGAACAGCTCGCACGTGTAAACAAATCCGTAGAAATCGGCACCTTTTTTGTGCAAACTGAAATCCCCCAAAGATCGTGGGCGTTGTTCGAACAAAGCGACCACGCCACCCGGTGTGATAATTCCACGTATCTCGTGGTTCGCTTCAGCGCTCAAAGAGATAATCATGTGTAAGTAACCGGCGCCATTCCGGAATGGGCTTATTAACACATTAACTTGCGGTAGGTGTGTTTTGAGAGGAAATACTTAGGGATATTCTCACATATTCCCAGTCTGCCTGCTCCCCATTATTCAATACTAAATTATTGTGGTTTGAAATTGATTTTCAAGCGTATATAATCTTGTTACATATACACATTTGCTTTATGTATTTAGTGTAATTTGATGTATCTGCATGTATATATGTTATAGTACATGGGTATCATGGGTGGCTCAGAGCTTTAGTCCAATCTGTTTTGTTTTTTAGACAAAATATTATAAAAATAGAAGACAGCTATCTATTTTTTTTTTATTAATATGGTACAGTAATATTATTTGATAAAATACAGTAAAGTACGAGTTTTGATTTTAATAAACGGAGTCCGTTTCGTTCTTGAATAAATGAAGTAGCGTGTTTAAGTATTTTTGACTTCGTGTTTTTGACCATCCCACACCACATACCCACCCCCACCCCCATGGCTTTCAATGGTTAAACAGACCATGGTGATGTATGCATTCTGTGGGACCCAAACTGACAGAAGGATGGATATCTATATAATCAATTATATTTACACCACGAGCACCCGATCTGTGCTTCAGCATTATTGAAAACGTCTCGGTGGTATTAAAGTTGATTAGCGTGGCTTGAGTGAGTGAGTGAGTGAGGTTTTACGCCGCTTTTAGCAATATTCCAGCAATATCACGGCGGGGGACACCAGAAATGGGCTTCACACATTGTACCCATGTCGGGAATCGAACCCGGGCCTTCGGCGTGACGAGCGAACGCTTTAACCATTAGGCTACCCGACCGCCCCAGCGTGGCTTGAATGCGTAATGAATACACGTGTACATCAACATAATGTTATTAATAATTTCATGGTTATATTATAAATATTTTGTGAATTCTACTAGATATGTCAACTAATTATGCGTTAAAATACCATTGTCTCGTTTTGCACCGTGCATGGGTTTCCTATCTCTAATATGAAACTGTGTTTAAATGTCTAGACCACGTGGAATTACTAGGTATGAGTTCGTTCACCAAGTGTCGATTATGTCATGTTACTCTGCTAGACTCTGCCTGTAATAATCTCCCGATTAGACAAGCACATTACGACGCTTGAAATGTACATAAGCATGATTGGATAAACCTTTGAAGTGGCCGGCTTATCGGACCCCCCGCGAAGCTTGAAATTGCCAATGATAATTCTCATGTTGCTGGTTAAACGAGTACAAATAGACACGGCCATTAATTTACCGAGTCCACACTTTTCCACGGTACAAGTACTTATTATCGTTATCACTCGCGCGAGGGGGAGGGGGAGGGGGGTCATTATCGCTGCCATAAATAGATCTGAAAACAAATACTGCTGGTATAGAAATAAAGCTATCTTTGAAGAAATTAAATAAACGCGATCCTCGAGATCAACAGGAGAAAAATAAATCTCGATGATCCTACAGAATGCAAAATATGGGACTGAAGACGTTATGTCAAACATTGTCTGTTTGACACATGCAGGCAATCGGGCACTCTTAGTTTAAAGGGCATTGGTACAACATTTTGTATGTACGAGTTGTACGAGCTTGTACACAACTGGTAGTTCCGTGTGAAATCCCCTTTAATAACGTAACAAATTGAAATATCTGTGACCTAGCAAAGATATCCTTTACAATGTCAATCTCACATTGTTTCGTTATAATTTTGTTTGGAGTAAATATTTAGCAGTATATTTATGAAATCCCTATTTTACGACAAACACGTGTATTTTTAGTTCTGTTGTATTTGTATCAGTACTGCCTCACGAGATGCAATATCGTTTCTCTGCATCAAGGATCCTAACAAAATCTCTTTTGTAAAACTTGATGCAAAAATATTTTCCCAGTATTTCTTTTAACATGTGTGTTCTCCAATGAAAAATACGGCCCAGACTGATACCTCATATACGCACAATGTATGAGGCCCATTTCTTGTGTCCCCTGCAATGATTTTGCGCGAATGTCGGTTAAAACGGCGTAAAACCACACTCACTCGTTTCAAAGAAAACCATTAAATTGTGTAAAGCACCACTTCACAGGGGAACAATTTCTCAATTCAAGAAACGAATTACATTTTGCCAAGCCATTCTTCAAAATTGTTTTTTCTTACAAGACTAATTTTAAAGAAGAGTTCAGGTACGCTTGTCTGATATCTTAGCACGAGGAAATCTTTTACCTAATTTAATCTCTTTACGAGATACATAAGTACTTCAGTGCAATCATTTGGTGACGAACGTTGAAGTCGGTCCTTTTCGTTTAGCTGTGAACGCCTTTAAAATGGCTATTTCGTTAACTAATACCCCGTTCACATGCACAGCATTTACTAACGTAAGTAATTTTACACATGCATGTGTAACTATACATACATGTGTATATGTAAATTTACTATGCGTTCACGTGAAAAGCATCTTAGGTGTTTAAATAACGTATGTAAATTGTGTAAGGCACACATATTCGTCAGTCTGTTTACGACTTTCAACACAAAACAGGTTGTTTTCCAATCAAAGTTGAATGAGAAGAGAGTCACTTCACCGAAGATTTTCGAGTGAAGCAACATGTGTTTGATTTAATTTGTACACAAAGTTTTGACTCCTTGAAACCAAAAGAAGACACCGTCCGCTCAACTCTGTATATGCACATAAAAGTTTGCAACTTTTGACAATTTATTTGGTGTTGGCAAAAGAACATATATTAATCAGATCATCCTCTTACGTTGACATAAACGTTCACATTGCAACATATACATACAGTGCAAATTTTCATTTACATTTGCACCTGCTCCAGACTTCTGCTACAGACAGAAGTGTATTGTGGAATATAATATTTCTTAGATTATATGTTAGTCTAAGGTTGGTTGGAAGAAGCCCATTTCTTTCAACATGTTACAAACCCGTCTTAACGGAGGACAAACTTAAAGCATATGATTTTATTTTTTTTAAAATAGGCATACCAACAACAAAATATTGTCTGTTATGTAGTATTCAACCCTTCAGTCCTCTTTGTTCGAATTTACAGCAACATTCATTCCTTAAAATTGTTTTTAAAGTTTCCGGAGAAACTGCATACGAGTAGATCTACTCGTATCTGTTATATTGTGGACGTTAAACTGTTTTTTTTCTGCCTCTGAATCATTCGTGACCAACTCGTGTTATTCTTCTTGCAGGTTACGGAAAGATGCGAGCGGTGACGAATGGATCCGCACCTACATTGTATTAGGCTGTGAAACTGTCCCTGCACAACAGCCAACGGATGACAGTTTAATTACCGAGGACGCGTGGAGATACACTCGAAGTGATGACGAGGTAATAGATAGGTAAGTTACTAGGTTGACCGTATGGAACTCTGGGTAAGAAACTGGCGTGGTGACTCACGCCGATTGGCTGTTTCTCATGACGTCACACTATTGTCCCGGCGAGTTGCAGAAGCGGGACGTTCGATTACATCGACTCTGATTGCAACACTATCAAATATATTTGAGACAATGGCGAGTAAGATCCACATTCCCCAGTCGTACTTCCGGAGACTCAGGAAGTGGTGTTCTCGACAGGTCCGGAGATTCTGCTGCACATCTCGAGTAGCGGTAGGTTTCAATGTTTTGTTCTTGAACAAATTTTGGAAAGCCCTTGATTTTACTCATTTCAGTACAGTACGCATGCTACTATGGCAAGCCGTTTTCACATTTTTTACGGAATTACAGATACCTTTAATTGTTTTAAAGATATCGGTATTTTATTTAAAGATATCAATAATGTTTTTAAGATATCAAAACATAATTAAAGATATCTTAAATTCATTTCTGATATCCATAATACAATTACTGATATCTTAAAATGTTACGGTGATATCAACAAATTAGTTTGTGATATCTCTAAATGTATTTAAGATATCATCAAACAATTACCATCCTACTGTACATATAAATACATTAGAAATAAATTCAAGATATCCACAAATGCATTACAGATATCTTTAATTAAATTAGAGATATCTTTAATTAAATTAGAGATATCTTTAATTAAATTCAAGATATTCTGACCGTTACTGATATCAAAAATCCAATTAAAGATATCATTAATAATTTTGATAATATCTTTATATCAATTATTGATACCAGTTATCTAATCTAAGTAACATTATTAATGTAACATCTTAAATGATGGCAACAATTGAAGATATCAATAATTAATTATTGATATCTGTATTAAGTTTCAAGATATCAGGAATTGAATTACTGACATCATAACAAAACATGACATTTTGATATCTTTAAATCATATTTTGATATCAATAATCGAATTTACGATATCAGCAATTCTTTTCAAGATATCAATAATACGCTTCGCCATATCCTTAATTCATTTCGTGATATCTTAAATCTCATTGCAGATATCTACAATTATCTGTATTTAAGATATCTTCATTTTCATTCACGATATCTTCAATTCAGTTCAGGATATCTTTAAATGAATTGAAGATATCTGTAATTCCCTAATAAATGTGAAAACGGCGACGTTTACGACTTTGTGACGTGTGTTATTTACTGTCTTAACGTAGCCTCTGTATAGTGTGGCCTCTCGAGTAGCAGTGACTTTGACAGCTTCCGTATTGCTTTCCGTTGGTCTTTGTATTAAATCGAGTTGACTGTTTCTCGAAATTGGACAATGAAAGTCCAGAGTGAGATGCACCAATGACTTACATTTGTATACAAATTATTCAATAGTATCAATTGTTTTGTGATCTGTAATGGGGAAAATGGTGATGCATTATGGTGTTTGCAACATACAGATGGCTTTCAAACCGAGAGGCGGTGGGGTAGCCTAGTGGTAAAGCGTTCGCTCGTTGCGCCGAGGACCCAGGTTCGATTCCCCATTTGGGTGCAATGTGTGAAGCCCATTTCTGGTGTAGCCTGGCGTGATGTTGCTGGAATATTGCTAAAGTCGTGAAATCATGCTCACATTTATCATCTTTTGTTTCAACACACTTGCCATTTTTATATGATAAAAATATAATGATTACGGGCGTAACACCACAGTTATTTGAATCAGTTAAATTATAACCGTCGCCTTTATTTTGCATTGGTTGAGACTGGTAAGAATACTGCCAATGAATGCTTGTCGTAAGAAGCGACTAACGGGATCGGGTGGTTAGACTCGCTGACATGGTTGATGCATGTGATCGTATCCCAATTACGGGGATCGATGCTCATGATGTCAATCACTGGATTACCTGGTCCGGACTCGATTATTTACAGACCGCCGTCATATAGCTGGGATATTGCTGAGTGCGGCGTTAAACAACAACCAAACAACACTAATATTGACTTTCAAAAGCCGAACATTGTTTTGTTTCCATTGGTAGTTGGGACAGTTTCAGTTGTCTAAGCAACTATAGTTATAGTAGCAAGAGCAACAAGAAGAAGAAGCTGGAGATGATGCAAACATATAATATTTTTACAATGTAAGAATTTACTTAGAATTGTTAATTTATCTTCCTGGAAACTCCCTTCAATGGCATTTGAAATATATATATATGACAGTTGTGTTATTTTCTTTAAAGATTTGATAGCAAATAATTTCTTGTCGCATGACTTTTTTGACATAATCGTTTTATCGTTTGACCTGAATTAACATGGATGAACAAAGTAGAAAAACAAAACAAAGAATGAAATCAAGTACTAGAATAGAATATGCCGTGTTAGAAACTAAAGACTTGATAGCAAACACTTTCTTGTCGCGTGACTTTTTTTGACATAATCGTTTTATCGTTTGACAATAGGACTAGTGCCAATTTCTAACGCTGATATGTATATGTTATGATTTGGTTATGAAATGGTCAGATTTGTGATAAGTGCTCCTGGCACCTTGAGCTACTGCATTGTCACTGCATGGAGTATGTACGCCTCTCGGTGACAAACTCTGATTGGCTGTTTCTTATGACGTCACACGATTGTTGCCTTTGGTTGTAAGAGCGGGACGTTCGATTGCAAAGCAGCTCGAGTTGATACCGACGCTGGCAAACTTGTCTCGGGACAATGGCAAATAAGATTCACATTCCCCAGTCGTACTTTCGAAGACTCAGGAAGTGGTGTTCTCGGCAGGTCCGGAGATTCTGCTGTACATCTCGAGTAGCGGTAGGTTTCAGAGTAATGTTCAGGAACAAAATTTACTTGGCACGCATGCTACGACAACTTTGACTGTGACGTGTTTTGTAAACGTCATAGTGCTAAAGGTAGGCCAATTTCTGAATGAAGTAACAGACATACAAGGAGCATCATTTTGTAGAAGGCTGAATTAGATGTAGCAGTAGCAACGTAAGGCTCCGACCGTGCACAAACGTCGATGGCCTCGAAGCATTCAAGGACGATAACCTTGTCTAGTCATGCTAGTAGCAGCGGTGGTTGAAACCGTAGCAGCAGAGGGAGTAGTTACGAGGGCGGCTGAACAAAAAACAACATTCGATCGTAAGAGGCGACAAATGGGATCGGGTGGTCAGGCTCGCTGGCTTGGTTGATGCATGTCGTCGTATCCCAATTACGGTGATCGATGCTCATGATGTCAATCACTGGACTGTCTTGTCCAGACTCGATTATTTACAGACCCCTAGCTGCACTGTTGCCGAGTGCGGCATTAAAAAAAAGCCAAACATTGTTTTGTTTTGTTTCCATTGGTATTTGGAACAGTTTCAGTTGTATAAGCAACACAACAAACAAACAAACAAAACACCCCAATGGGTGAGCCAGTGAGGCGCGCCACTGTTTTCAGCAAAAGAACAATAAGGTTATATACTGCGAACGTCACAATATTTATCACAATTGTTTCCATGTGGAGAATCGACACCGGGTATTCAGCCACATTTTCTGTGTGACTAGCGAAGGCATCTACTTGGCTACCATCCATACATCAACAATAAGAAGTTGTAGTATCAGGAGTATAAGTAGTTGTAGGCCTTTTACAAGTATAAGTAGTGGTACAGATAGCAGTAGCACTAACAGCAAGCAGTAGAAATATAGTAATAACAGCAGTACTACAAATGGTAAGACAAGCAACGGAAGTAATAGTAATAGTAGAAGTAATGGTATTAGCAGTAGATCTAGTACGTAGTATTTTAGTAGTAGTAGTAGTAGAAGTGAAAGTTGTAGTACTACAAGTAGTAAGACAAGCACAGTAACTGTATTATTATTATAAAAGTACTAGTTGAAATTGTAGCAGTAGTATAATTGTAGTAGCTGGAGACATAGTAGCAGTAGTAGTTTAGTAGTAGTAGAAGTAGAAGTGAAAGTTGCAGTACTACAAGTAGTAAAACAAGCATAGAAATAATAGTAGTAGTAGTAGTAGTAGAAGGAGCAGTGGTTCAAGTAGCAGCAGTAGTAGCAGCAGCAGCAGTCGTACTTACACAGTGGGAAAGGAGGTTGTTGTCATTTCCTGAAAACTGATACTATGATATTTGCATTACAGGATCATCATAAGGACTACCTTTACAAGGAGACACAGGAGACAGATCTTCCTGCAAGCTCACAGAATGGGTAAGACGTTTAAATATGTTGTCCTCCAAACTGGCTCAACATTTGTGCTGTCATTCCCTTGATATATCAGAGTAAGGGCGTCTTCCTCAAGGCCGTGGTTAACTTTTTTTTGACAGGTGGTGGTGGGGGGGGGGGATCATTTGTCCCCAACTTGATTCAAATAAAACTGTTTTCTATAAAAAAAAACCTAGGCTGGCTACGACACTGTTCCTTCCAGTACGTGTAAAACTTCTTTTTGTTTTGATGTTAAGTCACATTACAGTGAAACAGGAACATGTTTTTAATTCATGCCTTGTACTTGACATGTTGATGTTTCAACATAACTGAACTGTAGTTCTTGCACTTAAGCTGTGCCTCATATCTAAGTTCTTAGTGTGGACCTTAATATTTCTCTTTTTATTTTGAAGGTCACAGAAGCCTATCCTTGACTTAAAGGGCTTCCTTACCCCCACCCCAGGGGATTACAGCTCACACCCTCGGGCTACTCTTTGTGGGTGTGGTACTCCGACCGGGGAACACCCTCTCCTCCCATCAAGATCTGCACACACAGCCCAGACCGCCAGGGAACTCCCACCCACATCCAGCCAGTCAGCTATAGAGGTCAAGGACACGGTGGAAGTGTCCGATCAGCCTGAATGCAGACACTCCATCCTCGGACACTTCCACCAAGGCCACATTCCAGAAGTGTGGAGCCCGTAAGTGAAGTGTATAAACTACATATTTGTAATATTGGAGAATTATGTACTACTCAAACATTGCAGGCACCCCTTTAGGCATATTTCGATGAAGGAATTTAAACAATACTTTTTTTATTTGGGAACAACTTCGAAATTCATCTTTCAAAAGTTACTTCTGTGAATAAAAGTTCTTGTTTCTTTTCTTTCAGATCTCGACATCCAGGAACCCAGTGCACCTCGGTGGCATTCACCGCCATTGTTGCCAGTGCAGTTGTTCCTGCTGGTCTGTGGACTCCAGCTACACTGGACGGGGTCCTCGTCATGGGGGACCGTCTTCATGACGCCATCCTCGACACCATGGGAAGCTGGGCTCCTCTCAGCAAACATCTTGCAGCAGACGAGATGATGGAGGAGCCTGAAGACTCCCAGTCGAGATGGCCTGTCCGGTGCGGCCGAGTCTGCGAGATGCAGGGACTTCTGTACCCTGGCAGCATGGACTCGAACTCCCTAACGAGTCAGTTGACCTGGGAGTGGATGCCAGGCCAGCCCCTCAGGGAGTTTGGGGATGCTGTGGGGAGGGTGTTTAAGGCCCAGGACTGTCAGGGAGCCATTATCACCTTTGATGGCAGAAGCTCGGCCTTGCTGCAGAACCCTGCTGGTGGCTGGATGGTTGTTGACAGCCATGCCAAGGATGTTTTAGGCGCTACTGACGTTGATGGGAAGTCGAGCCTTCTGAGGTTTCCTTCCCTGAGTCAAGTGGTGGCTTATTACAGTGGCATGGCAGTAGGACCCACTCAGTATTCGCTGACAGGGTTCAAGGTCGAGTCGATGTCAGAAGGGGGATAACTTCCCTGGTAGTACCCTCCCCAGCATTCGGTATGACTGCCACCTTGAGGTGCATCTGTCCCTGTGAAGCAAAGGGCCGTCTGATGGCGCACGTTCTGAACACTGTTGCTGTAGTGACAGCATGCATGGTATTGTCAGGCTACACTAACAGGATGACAGCGTTCTAACAAGACAAGAGGGCACGAGTGACAGCCCTGAACGCTCCTACAATATTGACATCATGCACGGATCACTCATTCTTCCCTCTTTATCGGACTGAAAAGAGAGACAAAAATGATCCGACCAAGAGGAAATATATACTGGCACTGTTTGAACACTGTTGTGAGATTGACAGCATGCAAGGATACAAGCTGTCAGACTCAGTCTTCACGCTGTAGTGATGGGAAGAGAAACACAAAGTACTGTCTGAACACTGATGTCAAGTTGACAGTATGCACGGTCTAGTGGGGATGAGGAGACAGTCACTGTAACCTCCAATTACACCGATCTAAAAAGAATTTAAAAAAGAAATTAAGTTTAGCATTTATTCCAAGGTTCAAGTTTGTGGCATCATTTGTTATTATTAAGATTTATAGTTAACGCGTTAATATTTATCATGTAATAAAAAATATTGTATGTTCATTGTTAGTGGCATCATGTTATTATCAAGATATATAGTTAACACGTTAATATTTATCTTATAATGAAAAATATTGTATGTTCATTGATGGTGCACAAGTAAAATATCTGCTTGTTAATTTGATACACAATGTAAGCAGATATATGAAGCTGTGTGATTAAAACATTATTACAGATTATACATAAATAACTCTCTGTGTTCTCTATGTATTGTAGGATTGTAACATTTATAAGAAAGGATAAGATTGAGCAAAATGGCCAAAACCACAGCAGGCTTCATCGACACAAACTTTTATACTGACAGTACACTTCCAATAAACATAACTGCAAAAGCTAACAAAAAGATTAATCAGAGCGTAATTATGAAGAAAAATTGGTTAACTAAGTGGCAGTAGTTTAATCATCCGAGGGGATTCAGGGTTAGAGTTGGTCCCAGCAACCTATGCTGGTCTGCCTGTGGGGATTCTGGGTTAGAGTTGGTCCCAGCAACCTTTGCTGGTCTGCCTGTGGAGATTTTGGGTTGGTCCCAGCAACCTATGCTGGTCTGCCTGTGGAGATTTGGGTTGGTCCCAGCAACCTATGCTGGTCTGCCTGTGGAGATTCCGGGTTGGAATTGGTCCCAGCAACCTTTGCTGGTCCGCCTGTGGAGATTTCGGGTTGGTCCCAGCAACCTATGCTGGTCTGCCTGTGGAGATATTGGGTTGGTCCCAGCAACCTATGATGGTCCGCCTGTGGAGATTCTGGGTTGGAATTGGTCCCAGCAACCTTTGCTGGTCTGCCTGTGGAGATTTCGGGTTGGAGTTGGTCCCAGCAACCTTTGCTGGTCTGCCTGTGGAGATTTTGGGTTGGTCCCAGAAACCTATGCTGGTCTGCCTGTGGAGATTCCGGGTTGGAATTGGTCCCAGCAACCTTTGCTGGTCTGCCTGTGGAAATTTCGGGTTGGAGTTGGTTCCCGCAACCTATGCTGGTCTGCCTGTGGAGATTTCGGGTTAGAATTGATCCCCAGCAACATATGCTGGTCTCCCTGTGGAGATTCAGGGTTAGAATTGATCCCCAGCAACCTATACTGGTCTGCCTGTGGAGATTCTGGGTTAGAGTTGGTCCCAGCAACCTATGCTGGTCTACCTGTGGATATTCTTGATTGGAGTTGGTCCCCAGTAACCTAAGCTGGTCTGCCTGTGGAGATTCTATTAGAGTTGGTCCCAGCAACCTATACTAGTCTGCCTGTGGAGATTCCGGCTTAGAGTTGGTCCCAGCAACCTATGCTGGTCTGCCCATGGAGATTCCGAGTTAGAGTTGGTCCCAGCAACCTATGCTGGTCTGCCTGTGGAGATTCCGGCTTAGAGTTGGTCCCAGCAACCTATGCTGGTCTGCCCATGGAGAGTTAGAGTTGGTCCCAGCAACCTATGCTGGTCTGCCTGTGGAGATTCCGGGTTAGAATTGATCCCCAGCAACCTATGCTGGTCTGCCTGTGGAGATTTCGGGTTAGAGTTGATCCCCAGCAACCTATGCTGGTCTGCCTGTGGAGATTCCGGGTTAGAATTGATCCCCAGCAACCTATGCTGGTCTGCCTGTGGAGATTTCGGGTTAGAGTTGATCCCCAGCAACCTATGCTGGTCCTAAGCGGAAACAAGTGATCGTACCCCAAAGGTGTGCATCGTTACGCATGATAAGCCTCACTCACTTACTCATAATATCAATCACTGGATCGTTTGCTTAGGATTATTCTTTACAGGCCGCCTTTCTAACAAGAAATAGCACGGATGACAATAGAAAAACTGTCGAGGACACTCGAGCCGACTCGGTCATTTCCCAGTGACGTCAACTGGTAGTACCTTACTTATTCAATATATGTGTGCTTGATGTGGCACTGTACACCCCTTTAGCCATATTTACACATGCTGTTGTGACATTTCATTTTTTTTAAATCATTATTTGAACATTTTTTTCCACTTGTGCAGAGTAAGACTTAACAAACTTGTCTCGTCCATTGGTTTAACCTCACAGCGCCCTCACCCTGGGTGTTGTTATATAGGATTAAGAGCTACAATTCACTGCATATTTGGTTATAGTCAGGCATATGTAACAAATGTTATATTTGGGATAACACTTTCTTAGTAAAGTACAGATTCTCGTACTTTTTGGCCTTGAGACCCGTCCGGGATTCGAACCCACACTTGCCAGAGTGAGGCACCTAATCGCCAGCACACAAAGTCACCGATCTAACCTTCTCAGCCAATGAGGCTTCCACAAAAATGAAAGTCCGACATCTGGTAGTCTAGATCACGTACTTTGAGTACCCCTCTGACAAGTGTAAATTGGCACGGCTCCCATGGCCGAAAGCTATGAATATACAATGCCATTTAGAAAGTGGTCAAATGTAACAAATGTTATATTTGGGATAACACTTTCTTAGTAAAGTACAGATTCTCGTACTTTTTTGGGTCGCTGACTTTGTGTGCTGGCGATTAGGGGCCTCACTCTGGCAAGTGTGGGTTCGAATCCCGGACGGGACTTAACCCAAAAAAGTACAAGAATCTGTACTTTACTAAGGTGTTAGCCCAAATATAACATTTGTTACATTTGACCACTTTCTAAATGACATTGTATATTCATAGCCAGTCTGACTAAAGTGGACATGTGCAGGTGAACTCTTCACAGAGTGAACACTGCTTAATGAATGTCTGAAATGCGCATATACGTGGATTGCAGCCAAGAGTAAATGTGTGGGTTCCACGACCACCATCCACTGGGAAGAGTGGCTCCCTAAGCCGACTGGCACCTATTGCATCCACATCTATTTTGGCGAAGACATAGGTTTTGCATCTGCGAAACATAACCAAACGGTGCTTCTTGATATTATTCTTGCTTATATCCCCTGGTCGGAATCCGGAAACCAATTTAAAAACTGTTCCGCCCAAGATGATGAAATTCCGAAAACGGATAAATCTGTTTATGGCCTTAATGAACAATATTTCAACGTTAAATGTTGCAGAGGAGGTCGCTTGTTATCTAGATAAAGGTTTATAAGCTGCATGCAAATAGCTTACGTTTTCCGTCAATCCCGACGTACATGTTCTACACCAGTATATATATACGGCAAACTAGCCTTGAACCTTCCCCAGAGGATTAACTGTGATCAATTATGTGCTAAAACAAACAATATACACAGAGTAATGAACGCACTATATGTCATATGCTAGTCAGATAACATTGTAATAAAAGTGTCAATGTCACTATTGTCATATTTATTGCACTTTAACCTGGTATTGAAATACCCCGTAGGCGACCCTCTGATCAAGATGATCTATCATTGACGGAGCTGAGCACATGCAAAGAAAGGCGTAATGAAAGTTCGTAGGCCGAGTGTTTTATTGTGTTTGAAGCCAAGGGCGGTGTTGTAAGGTACAAGTGTTGGGTTTGTGTATGCCCAAATTATGCATTTGTTAATATGGAATTTATATGTAATTAATTTACAAGTTACCTTCTTTAACTTTTTACCTCGACTTATGTCATGTTAATCAAGTAATGTATAAAATTGGCTTCATTAATGACCTAACAATGAAACTATATAAACCTTTTGGGATAGTCAAACCATTCACCGTTGATCTTTGGCTGTTTGAGCACTTTCTGTAATCCAAACACATGATGATATTGTTTTCTATTTTATCTTTAACAATGGTTACTGGTTCTATTTAACGTGTTAAATAATGTGCTAGAAACCTTACGAACTTTATATGGGAGTTGTTTGGTTGTTTTTTGGTTTTTTTTGTGTTTTTTTAAATACCTCCAACCAAGAAGGTTCAGTCGCTGTCTGTGTCTCGTTTGAGAGGTCAATTTACAATATGCATCATGGACCTGAAAATGGCATTTAATAGTACATTTAAGTCTTCTTTTGAAAGATGAAACGCTTTAACGTTCAAAGTCGAATGCCAAACCTCGTTATTTGCAAGAAAAATTCGTTTCTTATTTTATAATGTTGAAAATCTAGAACAATAATAGCATTTTTAAAATGTCATCGCCCGGAGTCGAGTTCTTTTACTGCCATTCCTACGACATCCATTCACATTGTGGCATAAAGGAATATATCATCCTACTATACAGAGATGTTAACATTTTTTAAATTAGTGATATATTTTAGAATTCTTTTTTTAAAAATTATTTTAATCTGTTGTGTGATCTGTTTTTGTAAAGTATAGATCTCAGATTAACATCTGAGCCAAACAAAGGATGGGGTGGATACCCTTCATGTATCATCCAATGCGTGGGCTTTCCAGCTCATCATATCTTGGTGATTAAGATGGAGCGCTAAGTCAAAAACACATGGACCGCGTTTATTGTTTAACGCCGCACTCAGCAATATTATACATATTAACACGACAGAACCAATACGCTATCACACAAGAGCTTATTACATACCTATTTAACATGATGTCGCCATGTCCATTGTCCAAATGTATAAGATACACGACCTCAAGGTAGCAATAATTCAATTTTGTAAAGACCTGCAGATTACAACTTTAATCCAGATTTAAAATACAATACCACAGTGGTTGCTCTTTAATTCCGTTAAAGTATCCCGCCTCTACTCATCCCTCTAACTTTAGATTAGCGATGAACTCGCATGGAAGGGGTCATAATCTGCTCCAATGCATGGGTATCACATTCGGCCAGCCCCGCCAACAATGGGCTACCGTATTGAGTCTCTGACAGTCTCCTGGTGATAAAAAGGCCACAAATTGCAGTCATGGTGATACAAGTGTTTAAATATTGACAGCTGAGTGACATTAGCATGCTTAAAATTACTGAAGGGCAGTCAAAATCCAAATTGTTTTACTATTCGAACCCTTTTCTAGTTCTCCTTTGAGACCGAAAGGATTTTGTAGCCGAAAGGCTGACGCTTGCTGACATTCGTTCTTCAACACGCCCTTTTCAGAAACTGATGTGGAGTGTTTGTTGTAACTCAGTATCCAAGGAACCCTCGTTAACTCAAACTCAAATTATTCGATACCTCGTTTAAGACGATGTTACTTTATAGTCCAAGTAAGGAAGGCACCCGCTTGTCTCGAACTCCAATTACTCGATACATCGTTTAAGACGATATTACTTTAGTCAAGGCATGTTGGTGTAAGATAACCGAAAAACGGGTTAACTCTTTATAGCGACGGTCACGTGACTTCGAGATAGCGCGGTTATCTGCTGGTGTTTGTAGATATAAATAAATAACATGAAAACACAATGTAAAGTATTTATTGATCCATATGACTTCCATTCACATGGATTATTTTAGGTGTAATACAGAAATTGTTACCTTTGTTAACAAAAGTAGTCTCGACACTTCTTTTACCTCTTAATTTTCTCATTAAATTCGGCCGTCTATATAGAATATTGGGATTATTTCCAGTACCTGTTTGCAGTACTGAGAATAGCATTAGCCTTTTGTCCGGCACAGCCCTAGTCAGGAGGACTCTTTTGTAGAGCTATAACCATGGTTTCTTTCTGCCTCTAAAGAAAGTCGCCGGCTTTCAGAAAGTTAAAATGGACCCCACGCCATGGCAATGGCCAACAGTATCCGACCACCTGTGTCTCTCACAACAAAGCACTTCTGTACAAGCTGTGGTCACTGGGGGAATTTATGGCCACTTCGAAAATGGCTGTTAAAAAAGCGAATTGTTAACTTCTAGGACAAACCTGAGCAACATATGGCGCCATGTTTCACCTACTCAACACATTTCAAACTTGGAACAAACCTCAAAGTAAATTTGTTATGAATATTGCCTTCAACGTCTTGTCTATTAATTCAGTATTCCTGACGAAAAACTATCTTCAGAGTCCAGAGAGTAGAATTAGGCCATCCTTAAATGAACGCATGTTCTTTTATGCCATCTCATTCTAATCTGAGAAAACACGGGAGGAAAATAATTCATATTATTTATTCGAAATGAAACATATATGACGTCACTAAGGCAGTACATGACATATCGCACTAAGGGTAGTTTACAGATTGTTTCCACATTGAGTGGAATCTGCTCGGAGAGAAACATCAGAATCATTTGTTCTTAAGACTTAAAGTCTTACTGCAGTAGTCCCGTGACGCTCTTCAAAACTAAAACTTTAATCACTGAGTGCCAATAAGTCCTTGACAAATGGTACACGACTCATGGATCAAATGATTTAGTGCTTCCATTAAACAATCGCGATTATTCAACCTTTTTGTAAATCTAAATCCCACAATTATTCCAACCCTTTGAGATTGTTTAAACGCACTTCAAAACAGCCTCTTGTTCATCCGTTTAACATTGCATAATGACAAAACAATAACTGTAAATCCGAAAAAAACTGTTAAGCTTTATTCCCACCTTTTTTCAACAGAGGCGGTAAACCTCTCAAGTAAATCCGATTTACAAGTCCACTCAGCAATAACGGAGTTCATTCCGTAAGCAACAGTCCATCTGTCTTTTCATACAATAGAGGTATTCCATCACCTGCTGAACCTTCGCGTCTTCATCGTCACAGTTGTTCAATTAGCAAGATCACAGAGAGAACCCAGCGTTCAATGTGTACCCCCAAGGCAGACTTTGAGTAAGCCGATAGCCGCTGGCGGTCGTAACCTTTGTAAGATGCTGATCTATGATTACTGGTCAGTTTGGTCCGTTGTCCGAGAACGAGTCCGGCTTGTTATAGATGATATCACACAGAACATGGTCAACATTTGATGGTCACATACTGTTGAAATGAGCGCCTGTCGTCAGGTGTTACGTCACGTGCACCACGCGCCACTCTGCACGAGCGGGATGCAACAATACTATGATATAATAAACAGACTGTCGCGTGGCCAGCTTGTCCATCAATGGGTAGTTAAGTTTTCGTGAAATTAATTATAGGGGTTGTTGGACGACAGACGTGAAAAGACTGGTAAACAGGTGGAGTATTTGATAAATCGTTACGAGCAACCATGTGATTGGAGCAAATATATCCTAGTTCTCTAACAAAAAGTAAGAGTTGACATTAAAACAAATTCAAACTTTAAAATTCAAAATATTTCCAAGTTTCCAACTTTTAATTCCAAATGAATGGGATAGGCTAAAATGTGTTGGGAAGTTTTATTTTTGAGTTTTTTTTCAGGAAGTTTTCTTCAAATATTTGAAAATACATAAGTCCTTGACCCAAGCTTAGATGTTGATAAAAGCAGAACAAAATATGGTAATATATTCACCTTGAGTGACAAATTTGCTTATAGTTGGATTTTCTCTTGAAAATTGTCATTTTCACAATTTCAGCCATATACTTGATTTTGGTAAATCCAAAACTTGCAAATGTAAGAAAGTGGTTGGTTTTGTCAGCCATTTGAATGTCTCATAATTTTCATTCCAGTATTTAAAAAGTTTTCCTGAGCTTTTAATTTGACATTTCAAGTGGATCAAAAGCGTCATTATTCTATCTCATCCTTTCAGTAATTGCTACAAGTCCCATGACACACTTATCATTGAGGATATTTTTTTCTGACTGCAAGACAAGTGTCAGTTTCTGTTATGAATGATGTAAAATAACAAGTCTATAGTGGACAAAGTCATCTATATCCCCTGCCCATTTTAACATGTTATGGTCCCAAACCAGGTAACTGACCCAACATTTCTCTAAGCCCATGTCAAAATAGCTGCAATGGAAATTCTAAAATAAAATTTCTAAAAGTGCTAAATATCAAAAGGCACCAGTTCAGTATGTGCCTAGTAGACATGCAAAGTTTGTAAGAAAGTATTTAACAGTTTATGAGTTACGCTCCGGAAACGAACACCAACCTTATAGAACCAAAGTCCAACTTGTTGCCATGGAAACGTAAAAAATATAAATTTCTAAAATTCCTAAATAGAAAAGGCACCAGTTCAGCATGAGATAGACATGCAAAGTTTCGTAGAGAAATATTTAACGGTTTCTGAGTTATGCTCCAGAAATGATTTCGGGACGCACGCACACACAGATGGACGGAACCCATTCAGTATCCCCCGCCAACTTCGTTGGAGCGGTGGATAATCATTCTGATAACATCTTCTGGTATCAACAGTTTACCAGCATGTGTCTATCAGAACATATTGAAGCATGGCTATTCATTGCCTGGTTGTGAAGGTGCTTCTGAATATGGCATTAAATGGGTTCCTCCTCACAATCCTATGTTAAAAGTTAAATAGTTAGCAGTCCCCAGATTAAAATACCACAGATCTCAAGCAAACCTCACACCACCAAAATATTAACCCAGTAAAACAAGCTGGTTTCCGAATATTGTTTACATGGAATCTGATATTGTTGATTCAATATTACTCCAATCCAAAGAATATCACCATTACCTTACTGGAACCATCCTGATAGTCTTTGATAGGCATTTAGAAGTTACCAGGATGAAGTTGCAAGAAGTAGCCTTGAAACCTTACAAACAATAAAGTTGTTATCCATAAAACCTTCATGTCTTCACATCCTGAAATACACAACCGTTGACCAAAATGACAGACTAGCTGATGAACCCCCAATCTCGAATACAGGTATAGTCCTAAAAAATATTTTGAAGGCAAGGATCTACTTAAGCCTTATATTTTTACAAAACACCAAAGAAAACTGACATCAGAAAAATAAAATAAAATGGCTATCGACAAAGAATTGGTGTCAACACTGTTTCCCAATTAGGTATTGTCCCAGGAATGTGTCAGTGTTATAATTAATAGCTGGTAATGGTGACCAGTAAAGAATATTTGAAGTCCAGGTTTCTTCGTGTATATCCCATTCTCAGCGTTTTAGAAACCACTAGTTTTAGTCCACTAGTCCTTATAATGATAACATATACCAAAACCTTTAAAAAGGGCTAATCTCTACTAGTCCTTATGATACCTTATCTATTGGGCAGATTGGCAAGGACTACAGGACTAGTGCCACTTTCTAATGCTGCATGATCCTGATGTATAAATAACAAAATCACATCATTGCATATTTGATTATTGTATTTTATTATACAATCTGTCTTGCAGTATATATACAATTGACTCTATACACAACAAACTCTCGTTACAACCAAGTTCCATGTGGCACACAACGGAGAAAAATAAAATTTAACAATTGGTAACAACAGTACACCATGTACTATTATGACAATGTCACAATGAAGAGTATTGTTGTATATGAAATTGACACATTGAGCAAGCCATGTTTGCCTTAGCAAAAGGCATTGCAATGAACATAAATATGAAATGGACATGAAAATATTTCACCAATATATTATAATCTGGAAATGGCACGACTAGCATAATGTAACACTGACTTGCTTGGGGCCAAGCACAAAGCTTGGAATAACGACCATGGATGAAGCAGAAGAAAAGAGTTTATGGTTCATATTAAACTACCCAATTTTCTTTGTGCCAGCCTGAATAATATTATTAATCTTAAAAAATGAATAAATAAATAAAACAATAAATATTTTTTTAAGTCTATGGTTTAGTAAGAGTAGAGTTTGAAATTGCCATATATCATCTCTTATATCTATGAATAAACCAATATTATTTGTCATGAAAACCACAACACTTGCCAAATTGCCATTTCACACTACTGTGAGGTGTGAAGTCAAGGTGACAGTAGCATGAGAACTCTGATATGCTGCACTAGGTTCATTTTCTCATAAAAAATATATTCGGGTTGATTCTTCTACAATGTGCTGCCCATTTGGTGGTTACATGTTGATATCAATGTTGAATGAGTCCTGAATAACTAAATATTGTGTAAAATAACAATAAAATCAGCTGCCTCTAATACCTGATAGAAGTAAGAAAACCCTAAGAAAACCAATTGTTTCAAAATCCCCTACACAAATTATGCAGTTGCCCTTGTCAGTTCATTCAAAATTCATACTACTAAACACATTGCAATGTTTACTTTCTTCTCTTTTACGATCTGCAAAAGAATGTTCATTGCATTATGTATTGCAAATATGGAATTATTTTCTTGCCTTCTCCATTAATTGTCCGTTAGCACACTTGTAAGCAGAATCTCAGCTATTTTACTAACAGCGGAATGGCTTGGTAATGTACATGAGATCAAAGTAACAGTAACCATGGCAACAAAACAACTTTAAACACACAAGTACAGGTATCCCAAACAACATACATTTTATGTCATTCATTCTGATAACAAAACTGGGTAATGGATTGACAACGCAACGAACACATGTTAAAGATTAATGTCAAATGAAATTAACCAAAGAAATGAGATGATTAAGAAATGGAAACTAAAATAAACTTATAATTGATTAAAAAAAAAAAAAAGTATGAAATTAAAAAAATAAATCACATCTTTGGAATACTGCAGGATGGATTAAAAGAAAATTCAATACTTAGAAATTGGTAAAAATAAGGTGTAACTTAACAATGTGGAATGATATGTAAAACATTGATTTGTAATGTAGGAAAACTACAAATACTGTAATGCATTTACACACTGACATGTCTTGCTGTGCACCCAGGTTTGAACAATGTATGTGCCCACTGATTTATCACAGTACAATCTAGCGACTAAATGATCAGCATTTGATTAAATAACTGGAATAATTTACTAAACTACATTTCATCTAAAAATAAATGCATCTATATCTGCACCAGATTAATATCAAAGCATCTTTCATGCCAAAACTAGAACTACAGCTTGCACTTTCACTGTCTAAAATACTATAGGGATAAATACTATTTCATCAATACAAATTCCAAGAAGTAAATACTTCAAGTCTGTACAAATTCATTCATAAAATTCCATTGACAATTTGTTAGCACAAATCAGACAGAGACAGCTTTCGTACTGCAGTTTTAGTGTCCTGAGCAAATGCTATTGGGGTAAAAAGAGATCCGTCTTTGTGGATGAAAGTTCCTGCTGAGGTGGTAATTGGTTGTTCTGGGGGTATGATCATACGGACTTGTGGTGATTGGATAGATGAAAATGTTTGTAGTGGCGAGGATATTACAGAAGATGGAATGGAAGCTGATGTGACCTTGACCTGAGGTTGCATAACATGTACAGAGGTGAAGGTCATATTCTGTTGAGCTTGTGAGGTGGGCATGGTGAACATTGTGGGACTAGATGGGGTCAAGGGTGGGCTAAAGGTGACGGGTACCATGAAACCCATTGGCTGACCATTTGGTGTTACTGGTATCCCTCCAACAATCTGCAATGGCTGGGTTGGAGCAAAGCCCTGAAGGGGTGGGGATTGTGGCAAGGATTTGGGGGAGACTTTGGGCATCTTGTCCTGACCGTTCACGGGGACATGAAACACAGACATTGGTTGCTGATTGGGTAGTTGGATTGTTACACGTTGCATTGTAGGTAAAACAGTCTGAGCGGGTATATGACATTTACTGTTTTCCCTTGGGGATAGCTTTCCACACGGAGAATCTTCATCATCAGCTAAAGGAGCAGCCAGCTCCAGTTCTGATGCTGTGATTCGATTGAATGTATCTGGAGTTGGTTTTCTCTGAACATTGCACATGGGAGGTGAGTTACGGAATTCAGGAGCAAGATGAAGTGCCCTCCTATCTGTTGCGACCTTGCGTTTGGCACATCTTTGATTAATTGCATCCACTTCTCCATCAGGAGTATGGGAGAAGCTGTCCGATGAACTGGCTCCGGACTCCTCCTCTGTTGATGGTGGTGTTGGAATGGCTAATCGAATCCTTTTATCAACAGTATTAACGTTCCTTACGGCCACATATGTCCGCTTGATGCCACGGCGATCCGGTTGAGCCTGAGGGGTAGTTTCATTCATGGCTGCAAGGGTGCAATCTGGAGACGATGACCGTTGCTCTAAGATTGTCGTCTGTTGAGATTTACCTGTAGATGGTGTATTAGGGGATGACTGAGTTGAAGCATCTTTAAGACTAGAAGTATCCTTCTCTATGGGCACTGGAACTTTGAGAGAGCGTAACACAGCATCAATCTGATCTCTTGTCAGTGGAATCATTGTTGGCTGTTTCATATTCTCTGATGGATTCAAAGGCTTTGTCCTGAATATAAAAGCATTGGCCTTGCCGGAACTTTTGGCTAGGCTTATTGTTTGTGAAGTAAGTGGAGTCCCTGGATTGGATTTATTCTTTTCTGAAGAATCCTGGACAATGGTCAGCTGTCCATCTTTCATTATGAGCAATGGTTTCTTTACCGTTAATGGCATGCTCTGACTCTTTTTCAACTCTGGTTTAGGCAATGGATCTTCAAATGTTTCTGAAAATGGGTTACAAAAATACATTATCATCCTGAGAAATGCATATATGATATGTGCTACATCATCATTTAAACTATTGTTAGTTAAAAATAAAAGGAATTTCAGGTCCTATTTTCTAAAAGCAATTGCAAAAAGAGGAAAAAATAACCCTCTATTGATTTAAAAAATGACTGTACTTCAAAGATTAAGCTTCCACTGTTCTGAATCAAAATATGTGACCAACCATGAAATAAGGGACCTAATGGGAGAAAAATCACATTTTGACCTCTTACTTCTTATATTTTAAAAGTGTCTTTGGACAACAAAAATACTGTTCATCAACTATAATTCTTACTTATTACAGAGATTATTACCAAATATTTGGACTCATTTTCTGCAAAGTCCCATTTTCATACTTATAACTGTTTATGTAATGATTGCAGTTTATGTTATGATGTCTGATTAATTGAAGGTAGACATGTATGCCGAAATGCTTTGAAATAATGTGCATATAACATTACAAACCAATGACAGAAAAAATAAGATATTCTTGTACAGTCAGCACACATGACGATTAATACGGAAGTTGATGTCAATCATCTTTCTTTATGACATAACAGCACAATTGTATCCTAGCACCCACAAGGTCCCTTTTTTCCCCTGGTGGGTCACACAGTGGTTGTCCATAAGGATTATCTCCCCTTGACCACATACCATTATTAAGACTGCATGAGTAAACAAATTGGTTCTAAGACACTCTTGCAGGATAATTATTCTGCACAAAACAAAAGATGCCTAAGAACCAGGAAGCAAGCAGTTACACACTAAAATGATTTATTTTTTGACAAGTCATTGACAGCTTTTTCTCAGCCTCATAAGGAAAAAATCTGAAATACCTACCATCAAAGTTGAGTTTTTTAACAGGACTAGAGGGTTCAGAGGAACATCCATATAATTTGGATCTTTCCTTCTCAGCAACTTGGCAGATTTGTTCGAAAGATGCATGGCGAGAAAAGCGACGGGGAGCATTGTCAGCCTCCTGCTTCAATTTGCTGACTTTGGTTTTAGCTTCTGGAAATAAAATAACACACATAATGCAATTTTCTGACGTTGGTTTGTGCACAATAGGTTTCTTAAAAATGTGTTTATTTGTTGTTGTTTTTAAAAAAATTGTTGTTTAACGCCGCACTCAGCAATATTCCAGCTATATGATGGCGGTCTGTAAATAATCAAAGCCTGGACCCTCCATTCCAGTGATTGACTTCATGAGCATCAATCCATGCAATTGGGATACGATGACATGCATCAACCAAGTCAGCGAACCTGACCGGCTGATCCCGTTGGTCGCCTTTTACACGCATAATAGTTCATTTTCATCAGGCATGTAGAGAAATGTTTTGCCTGAGACTGGTAGTAAAGTTTTATTTCAATTATGTATTCCTCTAATGAACATCTTCATCTCAATAGTTACTGTTTAACACATATTTTTAAGGACACATGAAGATCCGGGGTACAGGTCTTCAGCAACCCATGCTTGTCATTAAAAGGCAATTTTATAAGTGGTAGTGATACTTTTTCGGTTTTCATTTAAAAAATATATCCAACCACTTTATGGAATGACTAAATGAAGTTCAGATATATATTGAACAGATAGTAATATCATCAATATCTAACATATTTGAAAATTATATCCTCATGTTATGAGTTTTTGAGCTCCTGAGAAGTACTTCTGATTATGTGTCTTGTATTGTTCTGTATATGAACTCTTTAATTTATACATTGATGTTTCTGATTGTTTTAGAATTATACAACATATCGCGACATGTATTGCAATTTTTTTATGTCTGCTGGGACCCTTGTCATAACCTTAATGTTGAATATCTGAGATTGAGGGGTCCAAACATTCAAATAATACAGGAGCAAACCTCAAGCACACAACCCCCCCCACTAATATTTTCATGCACTGCATCAAAATGTGACTACCCACAGGCCATCAGGGGCAAGTGTCCCTGTCTACTGTTGTGGCAATTCCTACCTGCTAATGTTGCAACCACAGATGGATTCTGTATAGGAACACATGGATGAATGGGTCTGTACATATTTACAAGGTTGGCAACTGGAAAACAGAAAGGAGTTAAGATGAGAAAACATGTCCAACTCAAAACTTCATAATGCAACATTACTGTTTTTATGTTCATTAAAAAAAATCAGGAAAAAAACAAAACATTTTAGCATTGCACTAATATTAACAAAGATGAATTTTAAAACTAATATCTGGCATGAAGGAAGAAAGCCCTTTGATTTTAGTCAAAATTCAACTTCATTTACATTAAAAATGGAACTCATAGACATCTGTGTGTACTTACCATTGGCATTTTTAACACAGTCAAGCATTGAGTGGCGAGAACTGGGCCGATGACATCCATCAGTGCAGCAAACTGAAAGTATGAAATTGACAAGCGTCAAGTACAATGCCAAGTTTTCATGTGTTTTTTTTAATGAAGACACAAGAATTCATTGTTTATAGTTTGTAGTATATATGTAACTGTGATTTCCAAATGCAATACAAAATAATACTTACAACCAACATCACTGACGTTATCAACATCGGGGCCGATGTATTTGAATGCTGGTTTACGACCTCTGATCTCCGTGACATGGACCTTACGAATAAGGTCAAGACTAGTGAGGATATTGGCAATGTCATACAGACGCCGGATCTTAGCTGGAAACAAGAAACAATGTTCAAATAAATGCATTGTATAAAAATCTACTCACAGATAATCTTGAAAGAAAAACAAATGAAAGTTAATGTGACAAACATATATGGTAATGTAGCTGTTTGACTTATTACTTGATATTTACAACATACTAAGATCTTCCCTGTACATATATAGCCACGAATAGCTGGAATATTGCTGATGCGGCTTAAAGCAACACTTACTCACTCAATCACTCCCTGTACATATAAGTACATATATCAGTGTTAATCCTGTGCCTTCAAAACACTACAGGATATTTTTACCAGAACAGGTAAAACACAAATTCTATTTAAGGCCACAATAAAGTAGGTTTTAGATTTTCATCCACTTCCTTTTCAATATTGTGAGGCGAGAGGCATTTTATTTTATGCATACTCTTCAAAGCATCTGTGTGCATTAACTGATGACTGATGAGATTAATATGAATCATAAATGGTTGGACTCTGTATATTTTTCATCAAGGAAAGAAAGAAGGGTATACACATAGCAATGTTTTCATCGGTAGATACTTGGAAACAATAAAATGATGTGAGGCAACTGGGGATCAAATCTAATAATTATTTACAATGGCCTAACAGATGACGACCCACAATAACCTCAAAGCCTTAACAGACCCAAAACTTAACAGGTCAAGAATGGAACACTATATTCCTAAGCACTTGTTTGATGGACCTCAGGAGATTTCTTACTTTTGAATTTGGCACTCTCAGTCCTGTCAATGAGAGGGTCGCCAATGAGTATTTTAGCCGAGAGATCCAGGTTGACGGTCTTTGGTTTGGAGACGAGGAACAGCATGAGAAACTTCTGACTCATGATGCCAAGGGATTTGTCTTTCCGGACTGCTGAAACAGGCGTGATATATGACACTACAGATTTATCACTTACAGCAGGAATAGATCTCCACACAGACACATTCTCTTTCAGGTAATCTTTTGGCAAGTCATGGTGTTCCAATTAAGGGAAATAATCGAAGATCTGTCAAGGAGTTGGATCATGCAATCAGAAACAATTTTGCACATCACATCAAAATAAAGCAGATTGAATAGAATTATTAAGTTTTGATATTTGGGATTTCTTCATATAAAATATTTTGTGAGTGATAAAATTGAAAGGGACCCGTGTTTAAGTTTCCATTCTTTGGTGTTTCAGTATTGAGGAACCTTGAGGTAACTTTGAAATAAGCATGATTTCCAGATTATCATGCTGAATAATAGATTACCAGTTTCAATACAATACATCAATACATCGCTCACTTGGAGTTTACAAAACAAGTGTGTTTTGACAAAACAATTGTGTTATTTGGTGCAAAACTTTGTAAATCTGTTTATATATATCAGATCTTTTAAACAGACAAAACTGATTGTTGAGAACAGATATTTAAAATTAAACTAGCAATGATTCAAACCTACCCTTGTCACCAATTTCAACTGGCAGTTTTACTGTGCAAGTCTCCCCATCTTGAAGTTCTCGGTTTAATTCAAGTTCCTTCAGTTTGTCCATCTGCTCTGCAAAACCTTCAGTCTCAGCCAGAGCCTACAGAAATATGAAAATATAATGTACATTATTGTGATGTCAATTTCTTTTTCAGGCTCTGATTATATTGAATATAAATGACTTGTCCTCATCTTAACCATATGTTAACATACATGTATGTAGACATTTTTTGTTTGAACTACACCCGTAGCCATTTTCACAATAACACTTACCCTAAGTTTTGCAAGTGTCGTGACAAGGTTGGTCTTTCCATGCCATGCATATCTATTCTTAGCCACTCTGCTGACAATTTCGACACTCTCCAGCACATTGACGATGTCATAGATTCTCCTTCTCTCGACGCCTGAAATACACATATCATTGACATTGATAAATATTTTATTGACTGAAAGTTCAAAAGGAGAGTCAAGATGACTTTGGCATTATCCAAATGTCAATTCAAATTAAAAATAACATAATTCTGTACACTTGACACATTTTGATTGTCAACTAAGGAATATATAAAAATAATCATAATTCCTTGTCCTTGTTTAGTTCAGCACCTGCAAAGATAGTACTTACTGAGTTCTTTGGCAACTTCATCGAGGCATATTTCAAAGTTCTGTGATGGATCTGGATATTCCGGATACTTTTGTAAAAACCTGAAAATTCAGAAAGCATTGTAAAAAAAACACAGATACAAGTCTAAGACAAGTGATTATTTTTGTTTGTTGGTCAAACACTTGACTCAGCAATATTCCAGCCATGTGACAGGGTTCTAGGATGGGTGAAGAAGCTATAAGAATTGGCAGTTTTCTCTAAATGTTCCATTCTCAGATCTATGATCTGGATGGACTCATGTCTACCCTCATAATCCTTTAGGCTATTTTCCATGACATGAAATCTGAAACTTATCAAGCATCATTTTAGTTTGGTTAATGTACTTTCTCCATATTAAGTAAACAGTTTTATCTCTTCATATTGATTTGTATAAATATTTATCATCACAAAACTCCAACCATAAATGACAATTCGAATCCACAAATTAAGGCTTCTTTGTACAATGTTATAGTGTTAATTTATACATAATGAAAGACTTATCGCAATAGAATAGTTCATGTTTATCTATCAGTTAAAAGGCATGACATCTTACTTTTGACACAAAAGTCCAAGAGATTTTTCTTTTCTTGATCCTGTAGTTGGTTTGCCTGAGTCACTCTCTTGAGACGAACATAATATTTCATTGTCAAAGTCATTTGCATCTTGATTTGATTCTTCGGCTACTTGTTGAGCATTAGCCTCTTCTTTCAATTTACTCTGCATTTTTCTAATCTCTGGACTAACAGCACTAAAAAGCATCTTTAGATTTGCTGTTGGGGTCAAGGGAGCCTCAGCCTCTTCTTTGGGTTTGGTAGGTGTCACTGGCTGACTGTTATTGTTTTGATCAGTGTCAATATTGTCCATGGCATTATCCACAGTGACATCGGAATCTTCGAGTGGAATACGAATCTTTGATCTTGGGGAAGATACTCTCTTGGGACTGTTTTCATTTTCTTTGTTAATGATAGATGTTCGACTTTTATTGTGATCACAATACTTGATATCACTGCTGTGTGATTTCTGACTAAAAGGCACGTTGGATGATGCCATTTCTTCATCACTTTCATCTTCTTCTGTTATTGATGCCCTTAATTTTGCGGACAGCAACTGTTTTGTTAATCCTGCCATTCCTGAAACAGAAACATACAACGTTTAATTTCATAGTTCTTTTACGAAAACTTTCACAGTTGTGTCATTTTTGGTCATTGATCATATGATATGGGATGTTTGAATGAACTTAAAAGTATAGGAAAGAGTTCTTTAAGGTACGGTAATGAAGTTTATACTTATAATAAGAAACTCATTAGACTATTAAGGTGATTAGTGTGGGCTATATGGATTTAGTGTTCAAAATTAATGGGGTTCTTGATGTTTCTTAGTATTTGAATCATGGGACTCACTTAAATTTAACTTTGAACATTAGAGCTATGATAATGACCCCTTGATTTTCATGCTTAATTTTGAACAGTGTTAAAAAACAGTGTTTTGAGTATTTTCCTTTAGCTATTACAGCAGCCATCTTTTTACAGATATTGAAATTACCATGTTATAAACAATATCACAATCTTCTAGATTCAATCTCTAACAAAACATTAAATTGCATTTTGTATTTTTCTTCAAAAACATGTTCAAAAGACTCAATATTTTCAGGTGATTTTATTTGCGAATAAAAATCATTAAAATATTCAGACTGATCTGAAGAGCTGTATAGTCAGTGTAGAAGGAAAATGCCATGACGAGTGCAACAGAGTGTGAAATCCGTGATTAATTATTGTGGGTCGTCTACACTTGGACTGAGGTCATAAATCTAATTATGCAATCTGTGCCAGTCATTTGCTATGAAGAATACATATTGATAGGACTGTGACTTGAAAATTAATGAAAGAATGTTTAAACAAAGCAGGTTGTCAACAGGTGGTGAAGTGATCAAGCCGATGTTGACAACTGAACTGGCGCGCCCATTCTCCCGCTAAAATTCAAGGGGTTAAAATATTCGAAATAATTTTTCCACCTGATTTTAATTAAATCAAACAGACACTCAAGAGTGCTATTAAACATCTGAATAGTAAAATATGATTAGGCAAACCGTTATAATATCTAATTTACATAGGAAGCTGGGACCAAGAGAAATCGGAGATCAAAACATTGCCCCAGTTACCGGCGTCCTCGTCTAACTGTAAATAAATCCTGAAATCGACAACCGTTTGAGCCTTTCCAAAGTTAACATAGATATAAGACCTACCCGGACACTCAATATGCACCTAAACAACAAAATTTAACCTTACTTACCGAGTGAAACCCCATACGACACCGGTGAGAGCACCCAGACTCCGCGTTATTTTGGCTCGTCTGTACGATTTCTGCACGTTCGAAATTGGCGCGTGATAGTAACCCACGACGGGCCCTATCGGCCCGGAACGTGGATACGTAAAATGGCGGGGGTGTGCCCGGTTACATTTTGGAGTAAAAATTATTTGAAAATAGCTGTAAATCATCGCGATACGGGATAATTTCGAAAGATATAGATTATATATGCATTGAAACGATAAAAAAATGATATAGCAGTCCTGAATTTCCTAAAATTAGGTCACACGGTGTTTGAACATGTCAATACCGGTCGCGAGCCAAATGGTGCAATATGAACTGTGGCTATTTTTGTACAAGTGTCAAAATTTGAAATCATAACAATTAACTTATTACAAATACGTATAGTTGCACATAAGGCATATCGAGTGGTGATTACTTATATGTTACATAAAATACAAGTACGCTTCTCTGTATGATCACTCTAAAAAATGGTTTTGTACATTGACAGTTATGACATCAGCCATGTCTAAACATAATGATTACTCGATCTAAAACGATTGAAAGGACATGGTGGCATATGATGGTGCTAATAATACATGTTTGTCAATTTTGAGCAATTATGGAAAACAACATGGAAAAATGAATCACCAACACACCTTTGTTTTTGCAGTGAAATATCTCACTTGCCTGTACACGAACTCGAACTAAACTGTCATATGCATTTGCAATTGTTGACAACAGTTACTGTGTAGGATGGAATAGGATAATCCCCGTGTGTAGATCCGTTCCAAATTATTTCCTGCTTTGCTGAGGTATCCTTGGGTGGAGGGGCTCGATATGTCTTGTCACCCTCCGTGGATAAATAATTTTTGTGCGAAATCGATTCGAGCCACTACAAATATTTGGCGCGAGATAGTGCGTTTTTAGAAACTATAAACCCGCCTACTTTTCATTAACCAATCAGAGAAAGGCACCCTACTTTGATTGACAGCTAGCGATACAGTTATCCAATCACACAGTCTGACACGGTAGGTCATAGGTCAAGTTATGAAAACATGTCCATGCGGAACATGTGAGTGAATAGCGTTATGTGTGTCGCGAGGGAAAACATGTCTACACTAGCATTGTCACATGATCGTATGTATTTACGACTGTCAATAAGCGGCTGATTAGCATCTAAGACGTAGCATACGCTCAGGCAAGTGTTTCGCGCACAAAATATTGCGGGAAAAGCATTGTCGGGAAGAAAACACCCGCCAAATTGTGCAGTGGCCAAATATAAACACAGAATTCCGTGACGTAGGGCTCAGTGTTATTTTTGGTTTTGTGGTTAGATCGTAAACGTATTGTGACGATACAGGTGTTGCTGTAAAGAAGTACAATAAATGTCGCAGATGTGTGAAATTTGCCACAGGATAGTTCAATTACAGGGCAATAATCAAAATCATTTGCACAAGGGTGACAATAGAAGTTACTGTTACTGTAAAACCCAAGTATATATTCTTCGCAAACAACACACCTTCCTATTTAATTTTTTTTTGTGTTATGTAATTCACACACATACGCGGTTAAGGCCTATATAATAATTTCGATCACATGTACAGAAATAATATTACTAAACTAATGTATTCACAAAACATGCAATAAACCCAACACGTATGTAATTGAATATTTAAAAAACCCACACATATACTTATCACTAATGAACACACCGGCGATGAATTCAGAATTGTTGAGGTTTACTGATCAAGCAAAACACGCCTTCGTTGAGAAAATCAATTTTCATAATTTATGCGAGATCGCACTCAATGACTCAGACGCCTCTACTACATGTGGGTTAGCAAGAGCCCAACGTGAATGTTGTGAATTTAGGATGTAGAGCGATCGAGGGATTTCCCTACTGTGAGAAGCATCGCCAGCATCGTTTAGGGGGCGAATATACCAGATGTGCATTTAGAGTCTATCATTTGCTCTTTTTCTATTCAAGATTTGGATGTATGTGTCTCTATCGTGTGTTTATAGCGAAAACCTGCATTTGTGAGGTACCTGTTGTTTGTGCTGATTGGCGATCGGAGTTATGAAAACGCAAGTGGAAAATCGTCACCATGGCTCATTGTAAGCAAAGCCAGTCCTCGGGGGGTCACCCCCAGAAAACCCCCAGTTACAGTGTGGAGGAAACAATTAGGGTAAGTACCCCTTTGTTCATTGTTTACACCCGTACAATCACAGGTTTTCAAGCGCCATGCGCTGTCATGCGTCACGGTAGCTGTCCGTGTTGCCGGAATTTCGATGCAACAGTTGTAAACACAGCGTGGCAAGATCCTTTCAAAACAGACAGTTGGTTGAGAAAACTGTGACATTCGTTGTTTTTTCTTTCAGGGGTATTTGTGTGACAATGTGACGTTTGTTATGAACGTCAGAAACGGTCAGAGTGACACTGGAATAGATGTCAACACATTATTGATTGCGATGTACAGTCATTTAAAGACGGGCTCTGACTGACAGCAGACTGTTTTAGCGGTTGCTGTTTGTGTTGAACAACAGCGACACGTTTATTTTTTATTTGTTGTAAATAAAACTTGTATACATTTTTGGTAAGTGAAATAGTGAGATATACCAATGAAAATGATTTTTTTTTTACAAGGTTATATTATAATCAGTTTTTTTTATTAATTTACACCTGATGAAATCAAGTGAAGTCAATTAATTAAAAAACCATAAAGAAAATGTATTTTTTTTAAATCCACAGAAAGTTCATACAATGAAACACACAAATCCCACTGGAATCAGGAATGTGCACTTCAACTAAAAAAATATGATCAGTGCTAATTAGTATGACCTGTCTTGATACAGGACCAGTGTCATATTTTCCATAAATGCAGTTATCCTATTTCATATTATGATAAAGCAGCGATATGTAAATGATGATACATCATATATCACAATTGAATTATAGATGAAAGTATCATTGATAACCCCCTTCCTGCATTTACACTTAATGATACCAATGACATTTCCAACAGATCAAGGTTACAGAATACAACTTTAAAGTTCACCTGAATGATTTTGATATCTGTACAGTCTGAGAACATTCTCTGTTCATAATGTGTGTGTGGTTGGTTAGTTTCTGTGGGGGTTGGATTTAGTGGGGGAATGTGATCATTCTTTTGTTTACAATGTACAGTAAACAACGTTTATAATAAACATGCTTATAACGACCTGGCAGACATAACAAACTGTTTTTTTTTGTCCCGGCCATTTGCTGTATATATGTTTATAACGAACTATGTTTATAACGAACCAAAATTGGTCGTCCCTTTGAGTTCGTTATAGCCGTAGTTTACTGTATATGAGTGTGGTTGATTTTTATTGGTGCAACGTATGGGAATGTTTCACTTTTCATTTGTCTTACCCAATATAATTATTGTCCAATAAGTGTTCGTCAAGGTCTTAACCTTATAAAGATGTATTATACGATTATAAGATACAAGTGGTGTAAAATGTTTAATCGAGTTATGTAAGTAGAATATATTTGATAACTGTTTAAAAAATAAAAAAACACCTTCACCCACAAACAGATCTCAGATTCTTGCATGCAATGAAACCCTGTTAGTATGGACAGAAACATTCCAAGTGAAATCATGTTCTATATTATCAATTTCTGGATTAACAAATCATTGGTATATAGTAACATCTTGGAATAAACAAATCATTGGTATAGAGTAACATCTTGGGATAAACAAATCAGTGGTATAGAGTAACATCTTGGGATAAACAAATCATTGGTATAGAGTAACATCTTGGGATAAACAAATCAGTGGTATAGAGTAACATCTTGGGATAAACAAATCATTGGTATAGAGTAACATCTTGGGATAAACAAATCATTGGTATATAGTAACATCTTGGGATAAACAAATCAGTGGTATATAGTAACATCTTGGGATAAACAAATCACTGGTATAGAGTAACATCTTGGGATAAACAAATCAGTGGTATAGAGTAACATCTTGGGATAAACAAATCAGTGGTGTAGAGTAACATCTTGGGATAAACAAATCAGTGGTATACAGTAACATCTTGGGATAAACAAATCATTGGTATAGAGTAACATCTTGGGATAAACAAATCAGTGGTATAGAGTAACATCTTGGGATAAACAAATCAGTGGTATAGAGTAACATCTTGGGATAAACAAATCATTGGTATAGAGTAACATCTTGGGATAAACAAATCAGTGGTATAGAGTAACATCTTGGGATAAACAAATCAGTGGTATAGAGTAACATCTTGGGATAAACAAATCAGTGGTATAGAGTAACATCTTGGGATAAACAAATCAGTGGTATAGAGTAACATCTTGGGATAAACAAATCAGTGGTATAGAGTAACATCTTGGGATAAACAAATCAGTGGTATAGAGTAACATCTTGGGATAAACAAATCAGTGGTATAGAGTAACATCTTGGGATAAACAAATCAGTGGTATAGAGTAACATCTTGGGATAAACAAATCAGTGGTATAGAGTAACATCTTGGGATAAACAAATCAGTGGTATATAGTAACATCTTGGGATAAACACATCAGTGGTATAGAGTAACATCTTGGGATAAACAAATCAGTGGTATAGAGTAACATCTTGGGATAAACAAATCAGTGGTATATAGTAACATCTTGGGATAAACAAATCAGTGGTATAGAGTAACATCTTGGGATAAACAAATCAGTGGTATAGAGTAACATCTTGGGATAAACAAATCAGTGGTATATAGTAACATCTTGGGATAAACAAATCAGTGGTATAGAGTAACATCTTGGGATAAACAAATCATTGGTATAGAGTAACATCTTGGGATAAACAAATCAGTGGTATAGAGTAACATCTTGGGATAAACAAATCAGTGGTATAGAGTAACATCTTGGGATAAACAAATCAGTGGTATATAGTAACATCTTGGGATAAACAAATCAGTGGTATAGAGTAACATCTTGGGATAAACAAATCAGTGGTATAGAGTAACATCTTGGGATAAACAAATCAGTGGTATATAGTAACATCTTGGGATAAACAAATCAGTGGTATAGAGTAACATCTTGGGATAAACAAATCAGTGGTATAGAGTAACATCTTGGGATAAACAAATCAGTGGTATAGAGTAACATCTTGGGATAAACAAATCAGTGGTATAGAGTAACATCTTGGGATAAACAAATCAGTGGTATAGAGTAACATCTTGGGATAAACAAATCAGTGGTATAGAGTAACATCTTGGGATAAACAAATCAGTGGTATAGAGTAACATCTTGGGATAAACAAATCAGTGGTATAGAGTAACATCTTGGGATAAACAAATCAGTGGTATAGAGTAACATCTTGGGATAAACAAATCATTGGTATAGAGTAACATCTTGGGATAAACAAATCAGTGGTATAGAGTAACATCTTGGGATAAACAAATCATTGGTATAGAGTAACATCTTGGGATAAACAAATCAGTGGTATAGAGTAACATCTTGGGATAAACAAATCAGTGGTATAGAGTAACATCTTGGGATAAACAAATCAGTGGTATAGAGTAACATCTTGGGATAAACAAATCAGTGGTATAGAGTAACATCTTGGGATAAACAAATCAGTGGTATAGAGTAACATCTTGGGATAAACAAATCATTGGTATAGAGTAACATCTTGGGATAAACAAATCAGTGGTATAGAGTAACATCTTGGGATAAACAAATCAGTGGTATAGAGTAACATCTTGGGATAAACAAATCAGTGGTATAGAGTAACATCTTGGGATAAACAAATCAGTGGTATAGAGTAACATCTTGGGATAAACAAATCAGTGGTATAGAGTACCTTTGTTCATTGTTTACACCCGTACAATCACAGGTTTTCAAGCGCCATGCGCTGTCATGCGTCACGGTAGCTGTCCGTGTTGCCGGAATTTCGATGCAACAGTTGTAAACACAGCGTGGCAAGATCCTTTCAAAACAGACAGTTGGTTGAGAAAACTGTGACATTCGTTGTTTTTTCTTTCAGGGGTATTTGTGTGACAATGTGAAAAAAACAGTTGTTAAATTTTCTTTAAAAAAATATAATAAAATGGAGCCCAGAGATTCTCTTCATTTGCCTGATACTGAAGTAATCTAGACTTGCATGGGCTGTATTTGATATATTTGTATCAGGGTCTGTAAGACAGACTAGCCAAACTTATGTACTGATGGTATGCGAATTATTAGACAAAATATAAGACTATGGGGAAATACATAAAAATAATAAACTGATTTTGTTTATGGAGCAATTTTATTGTACTAGGACAGCTGATCAGTAATTATACAACAAGAATATTCATGCTATCTTTGACACTCTATTGATGTTCCACTATATTTATTGACTTTAAAAGCAACAAAATGCACACTTTTTACCAAATTACATATATTGAGGCCTTACTTGCATATTCTTTTAAGAAACGTTTTTAATGATCTTTTTGATTATTAAATCTTGAAATAAAGTTAAATGACAGAGACAGTTTCCTATTTTAGCAAATAATATGTATTTTGAGAACTCTGCAGCATGTTTTATCAAAAACATCATTTTAGATTGTCTCTGTGAAGCATAAGTCTTTCTGGGTTTAGGCATAATGTTACTATACAGTTTTGGGGCCCCCATTACTGAAGTCATAAGCCCCAACTATGTGATTGTATTGTCTGATTGGTTAAAAGATACTTTACTCCACAGATTAGTGACTTAATGAACTTGCCAATGTGTATTCCTAGGTATACAAATAGCAGTCGAAAGTGAAGTAGTCGTTTAACCAATCAGACACTACAATCACATGATAATACCATCATAGAGTGTGTTGTTTTAACTAATTATCGAGTCAAAGTTGTAAAGTAATTAAAGTCATTCAAATGAGATTCTTTGTTTTTACATGAGGACAATATTGTCTATACCTTGATGTTAAGTCTCCAAGGATTAGCTGTAATTCTAAGTTTAATGGGAACAATCAGGCTTTTTATTAGCAGCCAGTTATTTGGAGAGTTCCTATGATGTACACAAGTACAGTACTAATTACCATAGTCTTGTTTCCTTGACTACAAGAGTTTGGCGATTTTAGTCATTTTTATCTCAAACTTATCTTATACCAGAAAAAACATAAATTTGTTTTAGTTTCAAAAATG